ACCTGCGCCCGAGCTGTCCCTTTGAAGAAATCTACCTCCTCGCTCTTCGTCGGGTCTGCGCGTACTTCTTTGACTGTTGGTATTCTCATGCTGTCGGCCATCTTGCCAATGACGATCTTACTCATTGCCCACATCATTATGTTGTCATGAGTTTTTGCGGCAGAGTTGGTGATAGACGGTGCAATCGTCCTCAGCAGATGGAACAAACGTGGCACACCAGATAAACGCAGCAGTTGATAGCTGGCTTGAGGGTCGTCAAGCGTTGCTAGGCGGAGTATCAATTCCGCCGGGTCACCACGGGCGATTTTGGAAACGAAATTCCTCTGGAACTCCTCTGTTCCTACTGGGATCCCGACAACTGGCATGCCACCTTCAGCAACTGACAGACCAATTTTCGTCAATTGTTGCTGTTCGTCGTTTGTCAAAGAGGACATGCAAAGACCTTCCGGGAAAAGCACTTTGGATTTCGGGAGACTAAGCTCAATCCCGTTTTGGGAGAGACGTTCCTGAATCCGATTCGTTACAGTGGATATGGCCTTCATGTTCCCAGCCAAACCTGGTGGAAGATGTGCCTGGAGGTCGTCGACGTATCCGATGAGTTTCACTCCTGGCACTGGTGGCTTGTTGTTGAACTCTTTCATGATATCAAGAAGTCCTACACAGAAGCCAAACCCTCCCAAATTGCAGCCTTGTTGAACTCCGCGCTGTGAAAGAACAACCTCGATCGANTGGCTGAGGGTTGCTGTGGAAGCCACTATCTCAACTCCTCCTGGAACACCACTTCCGAACTGATTTGCTGCTTCGAAGATGTTCGCAATTCCTCCCTTGTATTGGCGGCAGAAACTGCCGCTGATAATGCGACGCAACACCCCTCCAACTGCAATCGGCCGTTTTTTCTCTCCCAGCGCTGAAAGGTTGGCACTGGTGTGGAGGTTTCAAAAGAAATCCGGAAGCTCGTCTCCGTAGAAGACTCTATAGCTGAAGTCCGCCAAGGTTTCAGTAAAATAATCACTCATCCCACCAGCTTGGAGATACGAAAAACGAAGACCATCAGGCCCCGGAGCACTCTGAGGGTTGGCTTTCTTCACCGTCTGCTTGATGAACTTGATTTCGTATGGTTCATCAGCTTCGGCGACGGAGTCTATCCTGTGCGTTTTTATACTATCTCCCGCAGCTTTGATGCTGGAATCCCACGCAGTAGCAATATCGTCAGGATCTTCGTTAGGGTGTAGGTTGCGAAGGTGCTCCAGCGTATCGTTGTTTCGCGGTGAAGGTGCTGGGGAGAATAAGGCACTGGCAGCTTTCGTGATGCCTCCTCTTTCATGCGCAAGTCTTGTGGCTCTTCTTTGGCGATTGTCTTCAGAGTGGGTGTGTGTGTTTTCGTCCTATTCATTATGGCGACAGTCCCCCCAATTTTCGTGGTGAGACGTGTACTACACTTTTCAGCGTATGTAGAGTACTACACTTTTCAGAATATTTTTTCGTATAACTACAACCAACCATCCAGGGTCACACAGGAGGGGGTAAAACACCGGGGCTTTTTTTGTCTTTCTATTTCTTTTCATGCCCCACCTTCCTCCTGCGTGCTGAATTTTATTTTTATCGTGAGAAGGGTTCAGCCGTCCCTTTCTCTCGTCAACGGTGCTAACGTCGAAGTTTGGTACTCACGAGAGCTTTTTAGCTATATTTCGCTCTTACCCGCAAATTTCGTATATCTTCACCCCATGGAAATTCGAACTCACGACCTCTGCGACTAGCGGATTACGAGGATACCACTAGACCACCGGGGCGACCGGTGCCGTCGAGTGGCGAGTCGAGAGACACGTTGGTCGACAGCAGGCAAACACGTTTGATTTTGTTTCAGATTTCCGTCTGTTGAAGGCTACCACGGACATCAGTGTGTTCGAAACGGGCTCCCGATTGATTTGCTTGAGGTAGATTGAAGCAAACAAGCTTGAAATTTCTGGGTCGGTCGGTCGGTCGGTTGGTCTGGTTGTGTTTTTGGGTCGGATTGGGCCGGGTTAAGGGTAGGGTGTGGGTTAGGTCGGTTGGTTGGGTGGGTGGGTGGGTCGGTCGGTCGGTCGGGTTGGGTTGGGTTGGGAAGGATGGGGTAGGGGAGGGTAGGGTAGGGTGGGGTATGGTGGTCGGTCGGTTGTCGCGTTGTGTTTTGGGGTCGGGTTGGGTTGGGTTGGGGGTAGGGTTTGAAATGGGTCGGTCGGTCGGTCGGTCAGTCGGTCGGTTGGTTGGTCGATCGGGCGACCTGGTTCGTTCGCACTTCTTCGTGGTCGCTCGGCTCCTGTGCGTCACTCATTCTATCTAGTACATGTTCGTGGCATGTTCGTGGCGGAGTGTTTAACGTCCATCATCCTCGCCTTCTGCAAACCAAACTTCATCCGACCATCTCCTGTTGGGTTGAAATGGATTGGGGTTGGGTCGCCGCCGTCGATCGCGCCGCCGTCTAGAGCTGAAACGCTCCGATGGCTTCACAACGGACCGCACAGAGTAGTGGTGCATGGAGCATTGTTTGTTGTAGAATCGATCGGCAACCATTCGGCAGCTTTTCGATCAACATCTGCATGCAAATGAGCATTATCCATCAACTCGTGCACGTTGCTCTCCGCTTACCAAATACTACTGCTGTACCAACCCACTGGAGATATTATCGCCATATTGTACAATTTGGAGACAAATCAGAAGCATGTTGGAATAAATGCCGATCGCCCCAACATTACGTAGCGTGTTGACATCAATTTGGATTGGCCATTTTGACCTGCTAGCTGCATATAAACGTGATCTCCACCCTCCCAAATGCCCTCAGAAAGCGAGACCTCTATCTATTCTTTACACCCCTTACAGCCCTTGATATCCACCGCACCCCGTAAATTCAAACGAATCTTCACTTCGACCTCGCCAAACCTGCCCCAGTGTTCCGAAATAACCAGGCATTTTTTGGGTCTGCACACCAAAAGCAACTTCCTACGTCGCTCTCAATCATCCGTTTGCAGTAGAACGGCAGTGCCCGTCAAAGTCCATTTGCTGACGGGGTGTTCTGTCTTGAGGGTTGCAAGGAAGACATACGTGGGTCCTCTGAAGCTTGTGATGTAAACGGGTGCCTCGTAAATCTTGGGATCATGGCGAATGTATCCCACGGCTGACGGCTCCCACGAAGACTGCGAATAGAAGGCGCGTGGGAGGGAGGGGGGACGAATCGTATACATTCACGAACCTATAACCAGGCTGAGCATATATATACTGATACCCGTGTGGTAGACCAATCAATACGTTTGCTGTACCAACCGTGGTATGACGTTCGCCTTGCCACAGGAACATCTCAAAAGTTATCTCTCTTTTCAGTCAGGCGTGGAATTCCATGAGGATTTAGATGCTTTGGGCAAGTACGCCGCCCGTACCTGAACTGGAACTGCCTTGACGTAAACGACAGGTAGAGCCGGCAAGAGCTCCTTCAAGCGGCTATCAACCAGGTTGCCTGCACACGGCGTACCGGTAATCATCTCCGGTTCTCCAGCCTCCTCCCCAGTTGCCCACCTTAGTGTCACCCGAGGCCACAAAAGCATGTTGCAAACGCGACCGAGAACATCTTAAATAGAGCCAATGACGCAACTGCGGGACGTAAAAAACACACACAAGAAAGCGATGTTCTACCTGCGAGTGAATGCTGACGGTCCTTGTTGCATTCTTTTCGCTTGTTTTGAGCGTCTTCAGCGGTGCGAAGAACCTCTCACCTAGCTCCCTCAATGTAGAGCCCGCTGACAAATGCTCCGTCCTGGGGAGAGTAGTCTACCTCTTGCGGCTCCATGAATGTGCTTACGTGTGTTTCCGTCGTCATCTTGTCCAGTGGGGACCCGGTACTGCGAGCGGTGACCTAGAGGAGGAAGTCCAAGCAACGGCCGAAATCCAGCGTCATGATCATGACACGAAACAACCCATCCTGTTCTATGGAGAAAACCATGAAGATCGTGAAATCTCAAATATTCAATTTATTGCTCTCGACTGTTTGGTTGGGCTCTCGCTTTCTTTCACATAGGTCCCTCTCTCTCAAAACAACGAAAACGGCCGCAGTTTGGTCGTGTGTCGACAAACACCGCGTCAGGATACAGCGCGGGAAATTGAGACGGGCGACAGGAGGCTCACCTGCATGACGGCTGTGAGGTAGGCCGTGGGGTTGAACAATCCCGGGAGCCAGACGCACTGCGGCGTCACTAGATCTTCCGACCACGCGACAAGCTGCGCGATGCGCCTGAGCATGTCTATGAACTCGCTCAGCAAATTCTTCTTGGAAGGCCAGGCCAGTTTCTCCCACGCGCACTGTAAACAAACGGGAGACACACCATTGCGGAAACAAACAGCATTTGTTCACGGGAGAGTCAACAGTCAGAGGCACGTCTCAATCACCCGGTCAAGTTTTGTGGTAGATAGACAACAGATAAGCGTGCCAATAGACAGGCGTACAGGGGTCATGACGGAGGGCATCTAGAGGAGTCCTCAATATTAAAACGCGAGTGCGAGCAAATCGTTCAAGTACCCGACCTCAGTTCTCTTTGTCCGAGGTTCCATGTACCTGTGCAAATGGGTTCCGGCCTGGCCATTCGTTGAGGCCAAACGCTGTTGCAAGGTCCTCCATACTCTGCGACATGTTGAGCTGTCCCTTCAAGCCCTTGTCTAACTCCACTAACGATCTTCGGATCTCCGTCAAGAGCGCGTTCATGCGCGAACACTCCTGCGGAAGGTTCAGTCAGCAGCACGGAAGTGAAGCACTTCAGGTATCGACAGGAACGTCTTGGTAACAAGCTCAGAAGTTCAACATCACAACGGTAAGTGCCGCTGGAACCATACAAACAAGTGGTGTTTTTCGAGCTTACGAAACGCAATTCGACCACGTTTTCGCGAGTCCCAGAAACGTACCTGCAACGCCACGACGACGAACGGTCCCGACTCCCCTTCGAGGAGAGGTTTGGCGCGGAGCTGCATGGTGATCATCTCAAAGTTGTCAGGAAGCCGCTCCAGGAGATCAGCCATGGTATCTTTGATGATCGAATCGCTACTGCCACCACCTCCACCGCTGGCGCCTGGCGCTCGTGAAGAGCAAATCGTTTGCTGAAGTTGATGATGTTGTGTGTTCGTGCAACGGTAACATCACTGGCACGAGGCTGCGAGATATATACTTGGACCAAAATACGTCGAACAACCCAAAGTGTGTCTCTCTATGCACAGACGTCGTTCCCAGCTGGGAGGTGAAATAGTACTCAAGTTCTGGATACAGGCGCTCTGAGTGGCTTCGGTGATCCATAGTCCCTCATTTACGTGCACAAGTACTACTGGACCCCCCTTGGATTGATTGCACACGAGTCAGCTGGTGGTGTGTCAACAGGGTACTCGATTAGGACCCTTAACATTGCTAGACCTTGGGTCTAGGCCGATACATCATGGCTTCAGAGTGCACGTTCGGATTTGAACTCCCGGTATACGCAGACTAAAACACCATGCATCATATCGGCAAGAATAATCTCACTAACTTGAGTCCAGACCTGCGATGTTGAGAATAGCTTTGAACAGGCTTTCGCAGCTGTTGGTCAAGTATCCGATCTCGGCGTTGGGGTGGAGCCCGAACTGGGGTGGACTTTCGGCGGGTAGCTCCTTGTCTGTGTAGTCGAGGAACCCCTGTTGATGTCCCCAGAGCGGTGCATGTTGTGTGATGCGTCAGCGACAAAAAAATCTTCAACAAGAGTAGTTTTGCGTGATGCTGTGCTTGATTACTCATAGGCACTAATTTCGGAGCCAATTGGAAGGTGAGATTCAACCGTTCTCTCCTTCCCGTTTTTAAAACCTATCTACACATTTATTTCTAGACCTCGACATTGCTTTTGTAGCAGCCACCGCTCGCGAATGACGCAAAATTGCAAGAGGCTCGCCTGGAAATCGTAGACGTTCGGGTCTGGCGCCTTGAAGCCTGGACCCAACTCCATAGCGGAGAACAGACCCTCCGTGAAGAGCACCTGTGTGATCATTTCACAGGGAAGGGTTACCCAAACACACATGGTTTGAACCGAAAAGGCCGGTGCACTCGCAAATACGCGCAGCGTGCACGCCCCACTGTCAAAACTGGTCGTTCAGCTGTACTGCTGTACGATTGTAGCATCCCTACTTCGCCCGATGAACTCACCTCCAAGTAGACGTTGTTTGTTCGACGATCCCAAGGGTCGGTAATGTGCCCACCGTACATGATCTCTCCGAAAATGTAGCGCAGATCGTCCCAAGGTACTTGAGGGTTGTCATTCAGGTATGAACCTGACAAAGGACGGAAAGGGCTATCATAACGTGCGAATAAACGGATGCCATACGATTCGTTCCTTACTGTAGATACACAAGCTGGGTGTTCGGGGGGAACTTGAGGTGTATCTAAGGATACTTCAACGTAGCCGTCGTGCCCAGCACTTGGTGTCCACTATGGCCAAATATAGCGCTCGACGGGAGTGTCTAACACCGAAAATGACAAGCACAGGTAGTGGCTAACGTGCGTGTAGGATTCGAGCATGGGTTTTTCCGCCCAGAACGTGTTCGCTTGGCGGTGACACACAGCGCGGCGAAAATCTTGCAAGAGAACGATCATCTGAGGAGTAGCTCACGCTGGTAGACGTTTAGCGGCTCTCGTTTTTGAGAAACGGGACACAGGGCTGCAATGCCCCTTTGTGAGCGAGATTTCGCTTACCCAGGACATTGGCGCATATGGTGAGGTCGCCAGTGTTAAACGAGTACGGCCGAGACCAACCCTGAGGCCCAAATCTTCGTCGGCCTGCAAAGGGCAGGACAAATGTTGCAACATGGCAGGAAGCACGTCAAAATACGGTGCGATCGGAGCTCTTCACCATGGAGCATGTTTGCTCGTTCGTCCAAGAACTTTTTGTCCCAAGGCGGGCGCATCCGGACGCACATTACTTCTCTACATGTTCATGACGTAGTTTCGACGAGGGGCGGTCGAGGCCTGCATGGAGTGCAGATTCTCTCTTACCTAGCACGATGGAGTGGAACCAGCACAAGCTGAACAGACACGCCTTGTATTCGGTCGGCTTGTTGCAGCCATCGATCTTCTCCTGGTTGAAGTTAGCCCAAGCTCGGGTCAAATTCGATTTGATGTCCGCAGGAGCCTCGTTCGCAACCTTTGCGTACCAGCCGGCAGAGTGAACAGCACGTCATTGCAGTGGCGCATGTGGGTGAATCCAGGTGTTCGCTCTCAGAACGAGAGAATATCACAGGTGCGCTCGATGAAATGCACACAAAGGCAGCATTTTTCGCACTTGCTTGGTAAAACATCGAGGACGACTCAGCAGTGACGCTCCTCCGTAGCAGGAGCGCACAGGCAGCATGTGAGTACGAGGCGAGAGTTGCGAGCATCAGCACATCAAAGAAAAGCTGCGTGGCATTTTCACCTTGATGCATGACTGCATAAGGCTCTCAGGCATATTTTTCATGCTGGACATGGGGGGGGGCTCCGCGGAGATGAAGCACCTGGCGCACGGTGAGACGAGTGGACGGGAGAACGACAAGGACCTGGGTCAAGGAATACTCTTCCCAAACGAAGCGTGTCCTACGACAGCACACACACAAAATATCTAGAAAATACACCTTCATGATCAACCTGCGGTCGAACACGATGGCTGAGACTTCGCTAGCTCATGCACAACCCCGTACACATGGTTATGCAGAAAAGCCCAAGCCGTCGCGAATAAACCAGTCCGAGGGACGTGCACGAATTGCGGCGTTAAACGGTTGTGGAACATTGATGAGGCATCGGCGCTCACCGGAAGGTGTCGTGTGCTCCCTGTTGCACAATCTCAAGCAAACGCTCAAGGCTGGGGACCCAGCTCTGCATCAAGTGACAGTTTTGAAGCAAGACCCACCCACCGTCCCTCGCGAACCTGGTCGCAGGCAAGCAAGTATTCAGTACAGTAGGGGGCCCTCTATAGTGCCGGTATGTGGTCAGAGAGCAAAGCGGCACTATACCGGGCACCGGCACTATTCAGAGTACAGAAAGACTTGATATTCCGGTGTGCGCGAGCCGAAAACACCGGTACTATACCGGCAACCGGCACTATTCAACCGGCACTATATCGGGCCACCCACTGTATTCGAAACGCGCCCCGAGGTTATATCGTCGTTGTATGGGTCCAGCTCGTGAAAATAACCTAGGTCAAGGCAAAATCTGCAACAACTACGTCAGGGAAGATGCTCGCTTCTCCAGCAAAGCATGGAACCCACGTCCATGTCGCCAAAATTGACAGCTATGCACGTAACAAAAAGCCGGGGGTAGGTTGGGGTATGTTTCGCATGAGGAGCTCTTCTGTGTGGTTTCTCTCTCCATACACTCACCTCTCAACAACACCCTCCGCCGGTTTCTCCTGTCCTTGTCCCATCGATATGTTGATGAATTTTCCTGGCAACGAGAGCAGGAATTGCGAGACATACGCGCATGTCGCTCAAGGACCGCGTCCTATTGATGCACTTGCCGCAGGAACGTGAGTGTTTCTCTTCATATAACAGCCACGTTGTTGAACGGCAACTCCGGTGTTAGGGTACAACAACGACAAATCGCCGAAGAAGTGGCGAGAAAGCGCCCTCACCTCCACAGCTCCGCGAGGCACAGACGAGTCACAGGCGGCAAAAATGGGTCGACGCGGAGTACTATAGCACACCAAGCAATGATTCGTACCGTGATTATTGATATTTGTTTTGTGTAACCGAGCAACGCGCTTACCATTCTCAGTTGTGATGTCCAGAGTTCTGGCGAGGCTTTCCACCCATGGAGTCGGGTCAACGCCGGGGAAGAGCACGAAGAACATGGGTGTCGCAGGAGAAGTCTCTTTATACGTCTCCGCCATGTTGTACGGCTGTTGAAGGACATAGTTCGTTCCCATTGTCTGCAGTTTAGAGATATCGTAGGGAAACGTTGTGCGAACACGAGCATTGGAGATGGTGGCCCGTATTCAAGCCTCGAATCTGATATTGCCAGACACGTGCGGTTAAACAATTTTCGCTCCCCTCCAACTCAGCCCCCCCTCGGTGCGGTTAACTTTCCGTACAAACATTTGAAGTGCAACTGGCTACTCTTTCTTCCTACTAAAACGAGCTATTGTATGGATACGCTTGACAATCCTTACCTGCCCAATCCATTTGGCCAAAGCAGTGGACACGCGGTCCGGACGCATCGCTCTCAGCAGGATCAGTCTGTCGAATGCATTCAACGACTTTTCGAACTCTCCGGGCAGTTTGGCCTGATCGGCTTTCTCATCGTCGAACCACGCCTACGGTAGAGACAGTCACCGTGACGACACCAACCAGCGAGGGTGCACATTTTATCGGGATGAAGTGGTTGGCATGGCATACTACAGGCGAAACGGCCGTGTCAACCCCGAAAGAGGAAGAACGTACATCTACTGGCCTGGCCCATAGCACACCGCGAGGGGCAGACACATGTTTTGCGTGGGCAGACCCCATGTTCTGCGCGACTTATTGTTCATCGTCTCGATTCAATACCACACCGAGGGCGACTAAAAGAAACACACCCCTCCGCACGAGGAAACCACCCTGGTGCGGCTCACATGGAAAAATAGCTGTCGTCCTCTCTCACCTGCCAGTCATCAGAGTCGGACTGCATGGCGTCTCCGATATTTTGGAAGCGCTTGATCCTCTCCAAGGACTTGAGCTTAGGCCAGATGGTTTCCGGAAGCCATTCTCCTAGAGGGCCCATGTTTCCTGGATCCATGGACGCCTGCTCAGGTTGGAGGCGAAATATACAGTGTTGCCAGAAGTTGCGTAAGTCAGACAGTATTTCCCACGTAAAATCGAGCGAGCACATAGACATGTACGTCGAACGGGCAACGAGAGGACCACACGTGTTTTCAGATATGCGACACGTCAACCTTTCGTGCATGGTGCATGCTCAGTACTTTCGACGAAACAGAAGCGCCTTATTGAGAACTGCGAGAGCAGTTATTCCTCTTGGTGATTCGGTTTGCAAGAACTCAAACGCCCGGACTGAAGAGAGCGCTCGCACGCGGGCATCATGGACAAAGGCTCGCCCTTCTATTGTCCACACCTTCGACATGACGAGGTAGTCGACCTCTTCCTGGCCGAGGATACCGTCGTTCATCAAGATTTTGAGGGTCAGCATGGTAGCCACGGTGAGCTTGTCGCGCTCAAATAGCCCTCGCCGAACGTAGTTGAACACTGTTGTCGTGACCGCGTCAACCAGTATGACACACCTATGATTCATGAAAACAAGACGAACAACACACAAAGACAAACCATGACGCGAGGGTGGAGTCGTCCCTTAGATTCCGAACAGTACGCATGTTTCGTCGTCGAATAAGCACGTTTTTCACCGTAGAACGGCGTAGAACGGGTAAGATGTAGACCCTTCAAACACGAAGAAATGCTTGTCCCGTTCTGATTCTTGAGAAACAAATCGCGCACCAAAAAACAAACCCTGGTCGTTGTTTGCGGCAGATGGAGCTTCCATACGCGCAGGATCCAATCGCAATAGAGCCGCGGGGTGAAACAGACACGAGAAGAATTCGGCACACCTTGCTGCTAATTCCTCGTCTGTCATCTCCACTCTCTCTCCTTCTTCTTCCGCATCGTCGTCTTCCTTTGTCGTCGGGTCCTCGGTTGCATTGGTCGTGCCGTCTCCCCCGCCCTCCCCGCCGGCTTCGCCCTCCACGCCCTCGGCCATTGGCTCTCCATCGACGGAGGGGTCGTCGTCGGGCGGAGGCGGCTCATCGACCGCCTTGCTGACCTTATCAATGCCCTGGTAAAATACCTTATCGCAACATAGTATTTCACAAAGAACCATTGAGGGTATGAAGCGCACGTAAACCTGGGCTTAAAGGTGTTGTTATGGAGTTGACGCAACCCGGGAGGGTGGTGGGTTGTCCGAGAGTCATAAACTTAAAAGTGAGTGCTATGCAACGAGAGAACTTGTCGTTGGCGTTGTGCTTCTTTATTGTCAAGTCCTCGAAAAGCAGTCTAGCTTAACCCAGCGAAATTATTGCGCGTTTTGGCAACCGACCGCTTTCGGCTGCGATGTAACATGTTCTTGCTGTTGATTGCTTTCGGGTTTGGTATATATTCCTTCGCGCCCCTGGAAGGTTGCAATGTTTCAACCCCCCTGCGAGGAGAAGGCGAACTTCCCTCCAATAATTCGCAGAAGTACGAAATACAGAATCTGGTTTTGCTTTCCTGTCTTCCTCTTCGCTCCTGCTTCTTCACCGACATCAAGTATCTAGGATGCGCTCGATCGTGAACATACCTTTGTGAAAGCCGCGAGCGAATAGATATAGTAGGAGTGGATCTTGACGAGGTCGTTCATGAGGAAGAACAACAGCGACGATCTGTTTGCCACCGGCCTGTACTTCTCGCTCGTGACCCGAATGCTGACCTAAGCCCCGGTATTTGCGCCCGTAGGCAAGAGATGCAAGGGATGGGTCCGAACGCGGCTCGACACAAACAACCTCGACGTGGGTTTGCCGTATTTGAAGCAGGAGAACGAGCATGCTCTAGCAAAGATACCCGCGATCAATTGTTCCGTGAAAAGCTGCAGTGTTGATGCCCTATACTACCGGGAATACGATGCACACAAGTCATTCGGACGCCAACAACGTTGTTGGTGAATGGTACTAATATTTCGCGAGGGATGACACAAAGCCGCGATCTTACCTGCGTCTCTTTCGCCAAGGCTGACCGTGCCTCGATGTCAGTTGCTATTCGTTTCGTCTCCTCCAGTCCTTCTATGAGCTCAACGTCCTCCGTGATGTCACCTGCATGCATTTCAAGGCCACGCGGTTGCGGACGTTTCACTTCGCCCGTACACAACATACAATATTCGGCGAATATCGCACCAGGCCTTTTATGCAGTACCCTAACACGTCGTTAAGACCGGCCCTGTGTGCATTCCCGGTCTGTCTGCACCACACGCGTACCATATAGCGCACAGGAAAGTTGCAAAGTCTATCCGCTATGTAAGGCTCACCCGCTCACGGCTGTTCGGGTATGACCCACCTTCCGCTGTGGCTAGCTTGTAGAGGATGTTATCCTCGAGCTCTTTCATCTTGATCTTGAACCCGTTTTGCTGCTCGACCAGCTGTTCGCCGAGGTCCGCCAAGTCTGGCCTCTCTTTTCGGACGACGAGGTTGAGCAACTGCCGGCGCGTACATGTGCCACAAGGTCCGCCGACACGTTATAGAACAACGCCCCATTCTGTGAGTTGAGGCATGCCTTGTTGACTTCAAAAGGGGTGGGTTCACACTAGCCACATTGTTAATAGTCGCACACCGCAAAAATAAGGTGTACTTTGTCCGGTATGCCACACCTGTTGGACTAGCGACACGTCACCAAGTTTGCCGTGTGGTGTTGCAAAAATCAACGATGTCTTCACTTGATGCGTTTGAGGGACAGAGGAATGAATCGCCCGAATATTCGGACGCACCTGGTCTTCCAGCCCCCGCATGGTGACGGTGAAGTTGATGAGAGTGGTTTCAGCCTGAATTTCTGGTGGGAAATGCGGGTTGGACAGCTTAGTGTGCAAGAACAACCTGTCAAAAGCGAGAGGGAACGAGGCAGCAATGCACAAAGGGCGTATTAGCTGCAGAAAGAAACCTGCCGCAAGCGTGACTATAGCACATCCTTAGAGACCAAACGCTGCATCGGTGCTTCATGGCCAAGGTTGCAAGTGGTGGATTGTGACAGACTTTGCCATCTTTCCTTACCAAGATTGATACAGGGAGAGGACAACAAGGCCGCGCAAGCTCGTTTTCCCACCTGAAGTCGGGATGGAATTCGACTTCCGAGTCTCCCAGCTTGATGTACATCTTTCGGCCGCGATAGATGACTGCACGCTGGATCACCGGCGTGAGAACGGCCTCTAGAGTCTCCCCCAAGTTCTCAATCAGGATGGAGTGTCTGACGCGGAGAAAGGTAGCGAGAGCAACAACGAGTGACCGATATGAGGGTCTCGACGGCCACGAGCTGCTCGAGGGTACATCATCTCCACCCGTGGCGCGAAACACAACGGAGAGCACGGAAAATTTGCAAGCAACGGCGGGCACGCACGCGCGAGGGTCCTCAACCGAAATGGAGGCTGCCATCGGCAGGAAACCAGGTCGTCTCCGAAACGTGACTGATACCAGGATTATACACGAGTTATTTTTGTCCTGTACCGCCAAGCTTGGGCAGTAATCTAACGTAAACCTACCCGTTCTCGAGGGCCTTTTCGAGCTTGCGTAGCATTTCCGGCTGGCCGAGGCGAACAACCTCCAAGTTTCTTTCTGGCGAAGCCTCCTTGGTGCGGATCCATTTGATGCCCTGGGAATGATTTGTCGGAGCGAACAAGACGGGCCGCGAGCATTTGTACGGACACCACGAATCAGGTTGTCGTGTCTAGACGAATTCGGACACAAATAATCAATTCTCTCGACTATTTTCACCACATGGTCCATATGTTGTTTCACAATTGGCTGTGCCGCGCTTGTCAAGCCTAGAGCATAGTTTTGCCGCACGAAAACAGCAGTGGAAGCACAGCATTTCGTGAGGTTCGGAAGAGTTTTGCCCTTCGACTGGCTGGTACGCTGCAATCGCCATGGAGCAGTGGCCTTAAGTATATTATCCATGCTTTGTATAACGTTTCCCTACATCCATGCCGCTTATCCTCCTCCTCAACTCCCCGCAAGGGGCAGATCGTGGCAAACTCACCTGAAGTTGTGGGTCAATGATGAGCGGCCACCGGGCCGAGTTGGTAACGATAGCTCCATTCTCCGTAGAAACCTGTTGTGCGACGTGATACGTCAAAACGAACGTGTTTGCATCAGTGAGGACACGGTGCTCCACCTGCAGCGTCATGTATGCATGCTCTACAATATCTGCAAGGGAGAACACTTCGCTTTCCCTTTTACTTTTTGGAGTAGCAACAGTGCTCCGCGTTGAAAGGAATGCATAGTCCGTGGTAATGGACCCCTAACAAGCAACGTACGCCCCGTCCCTCCATCGCTGCCCTATTCGACGCCAGGGAAAATGTCTTGCCTTGGTGGGACGAACGAGCAACGCGTACCTGATCGTTCGGGAGGCCATCGCTATTCCAGCCGGCAACCTCAGCGTCCGTAGTGAGTGTCTTGATGGGGTCTGGATCAACCGACATCGGGAGCGACCCTTCCTCTCCCACAGTCGCCTGAGAAAGGTTGCAAGCAGTTCGTGCCAACAGTTACGGAGGGCAATGCTTGGCTTAATGTTGCCCTCCCTTTGTTTTAATAGCAGTTGTCAGGCCTTCCGTTCTAAGCTGTCAAGTTCCAACGGATCTGAGTTCAGTCGCAAAGGGGCTAGCACTCGTTATCGTTGAAGCCCTTAACCCCCTAGACACTAAACACGCCTTAAAAAATGGTGGTTGTCAATGTTTCAAGGTAGGTCTCCTCGCATGTACCTGGAACTCCTTTTGCAGGAAAGGCAAAAACTCCTGTTCCATGAGCTGGTCGCGGAACGTCTTGGTGAACGGCCCGACATAGCTGCCGGAGGAGGGGAGCGTTGAAGAATTGCGGGCAGGGGGCGACGAATACTGAAAATCCAAGCTTGTCTTTCAAGTACCGCCGAGACGTGGACAAGCAATGAAACCTCAGTACATTATCGAAACGGTAGAACGTTGATACATACATGCCGTTTTGCCACGCCGAGTTCCAGGTCAAGTGAGGCATCGGTGTTAGACGTTGATGGGGAGCGTAACATGCCTAAAAGAGTAGCTGCACGTGCTGCCCTCTTCACAGAAAGCACGTGTACCTGATAAATGCGGCGGCTAGGAGTACATCGCCCGTGAGAAGCTCCATGTCAGCCCGGAGCTGGATGACGTTTTCTGCCCAACGGTCGTTCTCCGAGCTCAAGGCCCCGGTCAATCGCTGCGCAAGGTCAAGCTTGCGCTGCCCCTTTGACACGGACTCCAACGCCTGTCCAAAACGCGGAGTATCAGCGCGTTGTCTCCTTCACCAAACCAGTGCTAATGACATATGTTACCGCAAAGCACAAGAAGAGAGTCGCCCTGATTGTAGAATAAATAATCAAGAAGGATAATCTACTCTTGATGCTCTTACGGGTTCAATACATACGACCCGCCGTATTTCCTACACTACAAGGTCCCCAATGTTTCGAATCGACTACCGTGGTCGCCACAATGCTTACGTCTTGCTTGTCTTTGTTGGCAGCATTAAACTCGGCTGTGAGCTTCGCGAGCTTTGCCTCCAAGTCCGCCACTTGTTCTTGCACTTGCTTCAATCTGACACGTGGTTGACAAGTAGTTGAACGTCCAGATACGGTTCAAAAATGCATCCCATGACACGGGGTGTGAGATGGGCGGTACGTGCCCCTTAGAAAGTGAGGAAGCTTCCAACGAGGTGACATAATCGCTCCGGTCAATGACGAAGAAGTAGAAGTCAGGTATGCGCGGTGTGGTGTACCCCACACGTACATGTGACAGCGAGGTGGCAGGCGTCGTGAACGACGTACTGCCAGGAGACTCACGTGGAGTTGGCTTCATTGAGCTGTTCGTTGGCCTCGGCCAACGCCAAGCGCTTGGGTTCCACGGTGACGACGATGTCGTAGTACTGTCGACCGTAGGCGGGGGAATTGATAGAAGTGGGAGATCATTACCACCGGAACACAGAGTTGGTTGCCTTTCTTCGCTGCCGGGCATTGCTTAGGACTGCTCTCATATACCAGCATGGAAAAAAAATGCGACCTGTAAATAGCCTAGGGCGCGTGTTGGCAAGACATTGGTCAATGAATCCTGGTGTTTTTCTTTTGTTGTTACAACTAGCAAAGTGAGGTTTGAGAATTCCTACGAACGAAAAAAAAAAGACAAACCGCAGTTGTGAAAAGCGACTTCTGGCCTTTCTCACCATGACGATATTGAGAACGAAGGAGCAGACACCCGCAGCCGCCGAGTTCTTGGATTGAATGATATCCACGGTGAAGTGCTCCAAAGCCAAGAATGGCCTGATTTCTTTCCAGCAGATTGCCGGGATAGTGTTGTCGTCAACCCCCGCCTTCAGACCCTTCAACAGTTCGATGTATCCTCCGATGTCGCCTACGTAAGGTTGCGGCCATGGCAAATACACAACACGAAAGGGTTCGTATTAATCGTCTGACCTGAAAAACGACGTGCCAACGCACTTCGGATGTGAACCGTACAGGCTTCCTCGTTAAGCAGATAGTATGGTCGAATGATGCGTTTAGAGGCAAAAGAGGAAAAAGTTGATGCGCGGTGGAGGACCAAACCTCACCGAGCAGTTGCTTCTTCGCTGCGTCCCAAGATCGGTCTTTGACTTTTCCAGCCTTGGTGGTGATGACAGACGGGCTTGTGCCGGCCAACAGAACCATGGTGGCCGCGAAGACGTCATCAACCCCCTTTGGTGGCGTTCCCATAGTTTTACACTCTCCGAGATCCTGAAAACGGCGAGACCCAAGAAGCGTAGAACAACGCGTTATCGGACGAACGGTTGTAAGAGAAAGCACATCACTGACGTCCATACAGCGAGCAAACGGCGCGCTCAACTAGTGCGCGGGAGGGTCGTTCTTCTCGCCACGGCTGCTTACAAGTCGTTCGGGATGACTCACCTTCTTGTTAAGGGTGTCCAAGGCAGCCATAGCAGCCTCGACGGCAGGTTCAGCTTTCGCGAGGTCGGCTTCGGTGTCTCGTTGCTTGATGCTCACCTGACGTAACGGACCAGGGTGCGAGAGGTGGTTCGCAATTTTTTCTACACATGAATCGAGGAGGCACGTGCGGGGAAGCGACAATTCGTATGGCTATACCTCAGCATCGGCATGCGGTCCTGGAGGACGCTTAATCTACACTCTGCCATCCATTTGCATAAATATATGCCATTTTACATGTTTCGGTGGGAGCGCCCCTACAAAGCAGCCGTCGTACTCACTTCTGCTTGGGTCTTGGCGACTTGTTCAGCCTGGACCTGCGCCTTTGCTGTTTCCACCTCGACGATAGCCTTTTCCCTGCTCACTGTTTCCGCAATTCCTTCGGCCACAGTTTTCTTCTGCTCAGCGTCTTCAAGTTTAATCTGACGTTCAGGAGACCGTGTTTCGCACAAAAAGTGTCTGCTCAGGTGGTTTAGTTGGTCATAATGTCCGCCTCACACGCGGAAGGTCGCGGGTTCGAACCCCGCCCCGAGTACTTTTTTTGCGAAGACAACAATTTCTACTGGGAGGCGGCCGACGGGGCCGTCTCCACGGTTAACCCTGGACCTACTTATCGCGTTTCATCGAGAACAGCCCAATGAACCTGGTCACAGCTACTGTGGATATTTTTCCTTCTCTACTAGTTTTTGTATGTGAAGACAATAACAATATTTCGAGGTATGTATATGTCGGACGCACCAAACGGTTGATGCCTTCAACGCAAGAAATGATCAAAGCCAGGCAAGTTTACCTTGAGGTCTTCTTCGAGAGATGTCACAGCATCCTTTGTTTCGCGGAGCTTGTGCAGTCCGGTCGTCAGTCGCTCGATGGCGTTGTCTTGACTCTCCCGTTTCGAGGATAGGAGAACGTTGTACAGTTTAAGGAGCTCGAGGAAAGACTTGGGGGTGGTGTACACGTGCCTGCAACGACAGCGAAACGTTGCGGGAAAAATACCGAGAGTAACGCTCAAGGGTCGTCGGACCATGAGAAGTGGCGTGCTTGGCATCAAGAGCCACCTAAGGCTTCGACACAACACGCATCAGGGCCATGTCGGGACCGTAATCACGCTATCACGAAACCTCCGATCTTGTCCATGCATGTAGGTAAAAGGCACCAACGAATTTTTCTTGTGCGAAGAAAACCACAATAACCACAGCCACGAGATATTATATGTTGACGATATTCACCTGCGCTCTGCGGCCTTGAAGGCCTCCGCCGCGGTGTTGACAACTTTGAAAGACAACGGTAGGAATCTTTCGATCGCTGCTCGGATCCCGTCAGAGCCCAGATCCATCTCCGAGAGGAATTTGCGCCCAACGCTGAACAGGGCATCCCTTGGCCAGGGTTGGAACCAGTCTGGAGGATGCATAGTGAGTGGGCAGGTTTCGATCAAGGTTTTGCAAACACGCACTCTTGCGCTTGCCTCCTTATAGCTATACGAGGTCAGGCCCGTAGAAAAACATTTTGCTGGGCACAAAATAGGGCGAAGCTTCACGCGTATAGTAGCACCTTCGCTCAATGCTTGGCGACGATAAACCGCCTACCGGATATATTGGAGCACGTGTCTTTGAAGTGGTTCTTTCTGTGGACCGCTCAGTAAAGGCCTCAAATCAACGAAAGGAATTGAACTATCGGACAAAAAAATGTCCGGCATGCCAGTCACTCGCGCTAGGAAAATACCTACCACTATGTGATGCCAAGCTGGAAGGTGGAAAGAACGGCCACTCACCAATGACGGTGCAGTTAACGAGGGCAGGGAACTTCTTAGCACGGTTACGGAAGTCGTCGCCGACCGGAGAAAAGGCCAGCACAACGTGCAGATTCTTTCGGATTAGCTTGATGAAGAACTCCCAGCAGTTCTTTCGGTCCGGGACGAGACCCTCCGCCTTGACCTTGCTCGTCATGTTATTTACCTGGAAACCAGCGGCGACATTGAACAAGTCAGAGTCGTGTCTTCGTCGTCAATGACCAGCGCCTTATTTTCGAAGGTCCCTCGATTAGAAGACCTTGTAAATTACCGCTAGCAGTACCGTTTTGCACGTGTATGAGCAGGGTGCACAACTGAAACGTGTCGGGGTCGAGTTGATGTGAGAGAGTGTAGTACTTCCAGGATGCCATCTGCGAAACCCCGGCCCTCGAAAACAGTCCTCGCCGGAGGACAGCCCACCCGAATCACTCACAATAGAGTCCACTTCGTCCACTGCGAATAGGTCAGGGATGTTACCGGAGGCCAACAGGTCGTTGATGTAGATCAGGAACCGCTCATTGGTGATCTGGCTGTCAGTGAGCAGGAACATGAGGCCTTCATCCTTGTTTCCCGCCTGCCAGGCGATCGAGCGGGACGGCGCCTTTTGTAAGTACCAATCGATCAGACGTTGTTGGTTTGTACCACCAAAAGCCACCTCCTATCTGGTACGCGGTTTTACTCGATACGGTCTGATGAAGCGTTCGAGCACCACTTCTGCTCATGCTAACCTTGTAGTGTAAGTTGACCACGAGTCGACCTAGGACCGCAAGAGATTTGCGACACCCATCCCCAAAAGTCGTAGCTTCGAACGCTACGATACCTTGTTGTACATTGTCTTGAGATCCTCCTTAAGATCATTGATCGAGTACGTCGAGCTGATGACGATCTGGCTGACGGAGTATCCACAGATAAAGGCCGCGAGACGGCTCAAAGACTGCTTGCCCGACCCGCCGACACCCACCAGCAGCGCATGGCCTCCGTCGTTGAGCACGATGCGAACGATGCGTGCAACCTGGTGGGCGTGCGGCCGACAAATAGTATCGCTCAATGTTAAATCTGGTGCTGTTGCGCGTTGTCCGCCAGCCCGAGAGCTATGACAGATTGACGATTTGAGCTTTCCCATCATTGTTCAACTTGTACTAGACAGAGAGGCGAACGTCAACAGCGCGTTTTCTTTCATTAAACTGATTCTGTCCTTCTACACTAGTCTCCCAAATAAAATGCAATCGCGTGGATCTCGAGGATGAAGTACTGCTCCATTTGAGACTCGACGGGAGAACACCGGCCTATCGGAGTGCCGCAAAATAGACAAAACTAGCACAGCGTGCTATCACCGACGGAAATGGGACGAAGAGATAAAGCCTTCCCATCTCTCGAATATGAGAAATCACCGGGGGGAAAGGACCGAGGCTGTAGGATGAGCTGAGCCCAGCGATGCAGAACAATAGTGACCAGTTGAGTAGAAGAATGGAAAGGATATCAAAAGAAAGGCCCTACTTACGTGCTTCATGGCGTCTTCGAAAAGCACGAGGTCCATGGTGGCGTAGGTCTCGTTGTACTCCCTGAGTGCATCCTCGAGGATGCCCGACATGGAATTCAGCGAAGTAACCTACATCATAGACGCAGATGGCATGATGGAGAAGAATGCAATCCGTGAGACACGCGTTTAGTTCCTCGCGACAAGTACAGTTAGACATGCAATCATCGATGAAGCAGCATTGACTAGCCCTCCAACAAGGCATCCCTTGTCACCCCGACTGCGTACCACCCTGACTTTTGATCCACCATTAAATCCAGAGAGAAGAGTCGTGCGTGCTATTGTGCCTCTACCAACAAGGAGCTCGGGAAAATGCTGTTCTTACTGAATATGCCAACCCGTCACGCATAACAGGTGATTGTGTTCCCGCGTGAAGATAGGGAAGAAGTCGGACAATGACGGTGCCCGTGTTACCTACCGAAACGTTTTTAAAACCTGTGTGATCGATACATAAGCATGCCAAGAGTGTCCTTTGCACGTTGCCGGTTGTTGCAGGTAAGTACAGCATCGCAGTTGCGCTGGGCTACAAGCCTCGAGAACCGCCTTGACGTGGCATCCTATTTAGTGCTCACCTGGTCGTATATTTGGTCTTGAATGTTCTCTGCGAAGTGGCAGAACACCAGAGGGTCGGCGTTCTCCGCCGCATAGAACTTGGACATGTTGAACGATGGGAACAGCTTCTTGGATTGTTGCTGAGCTAACGCGTTGTACTTGCCCAGGTCCTCGGTTGAAACCTGCAACAGAGTGGGTGAACGATGAGTTCTCGAGAACAAAGGTCGCCCACAGCGGCGACCCTCGCAGCAATTTGAAGGGCGAACTCAAAGATGGTTCGTAGAAATCTACCCCTCTGCATATCTGGGCCATCTTGTGAGGGATGAATGAGAACACGGGTCAACCGACGGTGGCAGTTGGTCGGACTGCACCTCGTGTGGCATTCACATTTGTCCGTACGGAGCATGAAAGATCGACGTGGGGAATCTAGCGGAACGTGTCGGTCTTATTTGGGTTTTGCGCCCTACCAGCCTGTCCCCGTAGACCCGCTCGCTCTCGTGCATCCACAGGAGCACGAACTTCTCCGCCGTTTTGAACTGGTCTGGTTGTGCGACGAGCAGTCCCTGGAACACGTTACTCAGGTGCCTGATGTTGAACTCGTAGTGGAAGTTTGTCGCTGTCTTCCGGAAGTTTGCGGCAACCTGCTCAAAGCCAACAGGTCATTGCGATATTCAAGCTGTAAATTAGCTGTCCACGTCATCGGGGCTACGAAAACGAGTTACCAGGAGGAGAAAATGAAAGAGTATAGTAGTTCACCTTGTTTTGAAAGCGATAAAGATGCGTCCTATCTTTGAAGCGCCGTCGATGCTCCACCTGACGCACCAGAGGCACCCACCCACCTGATTGTGGAGCCCGAGCGCAGCTTTGATCATGTTGCTCGATTGTCCTGCAATCTCGGGGTCGAAGTGCTGCAAATGCCCGTCCAGAATGGTCTGTCGTCGTGCATCCAACCAAGGCAGGGTCCGAATAAGGCGGCAACAAAACGAAAATACCCCGCCTGCTGCTTGTGATGCTTGGATCAGTTGCTTTGGTTTTATGTTGAATGCTCGTTGTTTATTCCGTGCACTAAAGACTCTGTAGAGGTGCTTCAGCGTGTGAGTCCGCTGCAAGAAAAATATGCGCCCAAGAGATCCAGTAGAATTTCAGGTTAGCCGCTGAAAAGATCTAACCTTGTGACACGGGCGAAAATAACGGATCAAATTTATCCCAGGCCATGATAAAGGCCAGACTTCATGCTCCCGACCTGGAAGAACTTGATCCCCGTCTTGACACGTATTTTATGTTCATTGGCAAATGTGCATGGTGTCGTTGTTTCCCCTTGTTTAAGCGTGCGTGAAATACACCGAACGTGATGGTAGCGTTGAACACCAGGTACTACGTGTATCACACCTACGGTAGTGCGGTCTTGACCACCCAGCAGATGGCCTTGAACACACACGCCAGGTAAGGTCCAATAAAGAAGTCGTCGTACAGTGTACTACGCACCCCACGGTTGGTTGACCGAGCCATACATTCTTCGACTGTCCATTCAACAAAATGTCCAGACACTTGCACTGGGGGTGTGATATTCATGGCCATGCCGGTACTCTTTTCACCTGGTAAATTGTGAGAAGCGATGTAGGGCCAGGCAAGCCGATAGCGAACGTCGCGAACCAGCGCTGCAGGCGAGGGTTGACCAGGAAGCTTCCTGCGGTCGGGTTCATGCATGCAACCACCTAGAGAAAAAAATCGACGTGTGTCGAGGAGGAGAGCGATGATGTGTGAAAAACGTTCGCCAGCTTCGCCGGTGCAGCAAGACCAGAAAGCAGCGCCGTCTAATAACTTGTGCCCACGGAGGTGTACTTCGCGATCCAAGTTGCGCAATCCGCTCATGAAGAGTCTACATTACGTAGGTGTGAATCATTCTGAACCGGGCTAGGTCACTTCGAAGATTTACTTGCCGAACGTATATTTCGAATGGGAGAAGTCCTAGAGCAAAACGCCTCAATCGATCGAACCTGAGTGTTGGCAATGTTTTTCAGGCTGAGCTTGGCCAGATCGTACTGATGCTCGTACTCCATGTGTTGTCGCAAGAGGGCAATGGCTGATTGGGTGTTGTACGGATCCACCTGAAAAAAACGTTTGGCGGTTGCACGGGATACATGGACAGCAAGGCTCAGCAAGGCGAAAAAGGTTTCATAGCGCGACGCAGTAGTGCGAGCAGCATGTTTGGACTTGCTTCTACCAACCGGCTCTCGAACTACCGGCGATACGCTCTTACAAACCGTGAACACTTTATCGGGCACGCTCCTACCTCCGAGAGGTTGAGGTCGTCCAAGAAGTACACGAGCTTGCTGTTTCCCGGCGGACCGAAGTTGGTCCCGGTCTTCTTCTCAAGAGGCAGTCCCATCGTGTTCTAGTCAGACGGAGAGAACGAGACGGACGCAAATCGAGATCGGGCGAGAGTCAAATATAACGATCGACAGCAAAAACCCACGAATATCTGCCAATACATATACACTGCTGCGTACTTGGATCATTTATCTTGTCCACGGCCTATTTTGATGGTTGAGCTATGTAGATCCCCTTCTGAAGCGATGTGGCGGCACCATTTCAAGTCCTGAACATTTGACTCCACCGACTGTGGAACCACCCGCCCCAGCCATATATCGCAGCGACGTGTGCTTGCGAAGTTGGATAACTGGATAGCGTAATTCGAGTTCTCAGTCCCGGCAGCGTACTCACTTGAAGAACGGCAGAAGTCGTGTAGAAGTTGAAGTTGATGGACTGGAACGTCAACTCGTCCGGGTTCTGCATTTTTAGCATGCCCATGACCATCTGCACCGCACGGAAGAAGAGAGGGAGAAGATATCAGTTTCGGAGAAGCGGGCTCAGGCCTTTTAGAGCATTTTCGCGACTGAGTTCGAACAGGAGTATCGGTTACTACTGCACTACTGCCTCTTATCGTTACCGACGCAAGAGCATCTCATTGCCCTAAGGCACGGCAACCATGAAAGGGTGTCTGTTGCCTGGAACAGCCTGCGTCAAGTTGAGACGCTCTTACCTGGGTCTTGCCCGTGCCAGATGGCCCGGCCATCATGACAGGCTTCCGCATCTTTACCAGAAGTTGCATCCAGAAAGTGACGGAGCAGGTCTCGGGCGTAGGCACAGTTATCTGGCGTCAGGGCACATTGTGGCGTGCACGAGAACGTGGTGTAAACTTTACGTGTTGGAACATTGCTCAAACTTCCAATATGTGTAGGTCAGCAATTCGTAGTACCAGACACAAACCGTGTGGTACAATTTTCCAATATTCAACCACTACGGTGTCGTGCAGGGGTTGGGAAAGACTGCAGTTACCGCTAACGTGAACCACCAGTCGGTGCCCGAACACGACAAAAACGGGATCGAAACCCCAATATTATGCGCTAGTGTAGCGCTAGAGCTTTCCCTAAATTTGTCACCTGAGTCATTGGCGTCACCCTCGAATCGTAGTCGATAGAGAAGAAGTATGGGCTCTTGGTCCATTGCTCGAACGACCCAGTCTCCGGATCAAGCCAGTAGTCGAACACCGTTTCACGGCTGGGGAATTTCACCTGGGGTGTCATGTTTGAGCCGCCGTCAATGAAGTTGCCAAGCAAACAACGATGACTGGGTTTAGAACTGTACTTACCGTAAGATTGGGTGGATAGCCGCTCAGGAGATTCAAATGAAGTGATCCATTTCGACGGAGACTGCCCAAGGTCAAACACTAAAAGTGGTTTTCGTGATGCTTGGTTCCAGGGACATACGTCCGTGACCCCTTGGCGCAGACCTGATAACTGTGGCAGGCAGGCAAGATGTAGAGAACACCAGCTAACCACTACTACTCACCTTCTTCCATTCCCCTCGCCACCAGTCGCTGAACAACTTCTGGTAGTCTGTTCCGTCGTCTGAGACGGTGAGGGCCGAGCCCATCGCCCAGATCATGCAAAACACAAAGACCTTCTCGAGCTCCTCCACCGTACTCGTGTTCGCCGGTGTGAGCAAGCCGTCCATCATGTAGAGCAAGACCTGCCGGAGGCGAAGAGCGCCCAATGCAGTATTGTCGCCGGTGCCTAACTCTGTGCTGTAGTCTCGGCGCGTTTTTTTGGCGCCTTTTGTTCTCAGGGTAGGTCGAGCGTAGAAGTGGCACCCTTGTGGACGAAAACACAGCAACCATCTGTGGGCTAGGTTGTGTTGGCTCTTGTTTCGTGGCTATACATGCCTTTTCAGGCGGTGTTGCGTTCGCCTGATTCGTTCGTAAATAAACCCTATGAGGTAATAAGGATGAAAATTATTCACGAGAGCTGTTTTGAGAACTGCGCCGAAGAAAGCAGCGAACGCAATAACGACACGAGACTTGGGGGTGAAACCCTCGAAACAAGCAAGAACAAGAACGACAAGAATTCGGCGATGGAACCCTCCTCCGTACCTGTACGAGGGCCATGTCCTCCACCGGAACAATCGGCATGACGTTGATCTTCATCCACAGCAAGCAAGCTCCGACATACTCGTCGAAGAATCCCTAATCAGTCGGAAACGAAGAGAGGTGGCATGGTCGCGGGGTACGGTGAGCAGGGTTTGGCAATGTGGTTTGCCGTGTGTGACCCGAAGAAAACATTGTTCCAGCACTACGGGTGTACTAGGCACCTGTTTCAGGGCCGTGGTGTGCCATAGGACGTCGTTCGACAACCGGAGATAGCAACGCTTTTCAGCTCTGCGATCTTGCATATCACGACCCTTTCGAGTGAAAAACATTATTTTTCACAACCTTGCGACCTCAGGGGTACCTGTGCGGGATTTGGGAAGCATTCTTCAGTGCACACGGCTACGCGAACTCTGGCGCCACTTACGACAAACAAGAGGTTATTTCTGGAACAGCTACGGTTGACGAAAGAAAACAATCACCTGGAAGGCGTCCTTGATGTTCTGCGGTTCCTCTCTGTTCTTGAGCCAAGACTGGATGAGGCTGACCCACTGCGTGCCGTCGTCGGTGGAGATGTACAATATACCGGCCCGACTCACGGTCGCAGGCGTGGCGTACTTGAGGTCCCGAATCTCGAAGATCATTCGCATGTGTGACTGTAGTTGGGGGTTTGAGTTGACGGATAGAGCGTAACGGTTTTTCCCCGGTAGTTGAAGTGCTAGAAATTTTGTGGGAATGGCCATCGACGGACGTGCGAAGTGAAGGATGAGGGGACAATGGCCCCTTCCTAAGCTTCTGCCTTGTTGACATTACGTGGTTGCACAAGGGCCTTGGGAGAATGATTCTTGTACATTCGTCGGTACTAGGGGACGTGTTCAAAAGTCCGACTCCTCATCCCGGACAACGCAAATATTACCGTTGAATCAGGTGCACGTTGCTGTGCGGTGTTGCACTTGCCTTCAAGGGGATGCGTTCGTTAGACGCCAGGGTGAGCATCCTGTTATCGTCCATGACTGAGTTCATGCTTTCGATCCAGTTTGCATCGAGATCACCGTCGAGGAGAATCCACTTGGGTTTCTCGTCTGGGATGTTTCCCAAATCGCGCATTACCTGAAGGAAACGTATGTAGCACACGGTTGGGTTAGTGCTCACATTTGGTGTCGGTGATACGCTGCGGGTGCATGTGAGAATAGACCCAGAAATATAAGGAATATCCTTTTCATCTTCAGGTAGTGAACCGTTCGGCCACAAAAACAGCAAATACCATAGTACGGGTTTGTTTGGTGTTTGACGTGATGTTTGCTGCTACTGAGCGGTTGCTTCAAACATAGCCGAGCTCGCCTTCGAAAGGAGCCCGTCTTTCCACTCTCGTGTAGCCATCGAGATGAAGCCGTAGAGCTCTTCCGTCTTGATCGACTTAGGGTTCACGTCCATGATCTTGGTCAAATTGTCGGGTGTCCGAAGCTTCCGTGCAGCCGCTAACGTCTGCAACGCACGACAAGCGATCGCACGACGCGGTCGGAACAAGGGGTCAAGGTCATTGGAGCCCGAGAACGCCCAAGAAGGTCAATCTGGTTCGAGTATGAACAAAGGCCTCGTGATAGGTCATGGGAACCCGCTCCCGTCGCTAAGGTGATGCTTGCGGTCCGCCGAGCCTGTGTCATGTGCAATATCTCACCTTCCACGATTGACTCTTTCCTGCACCGGGCGGGCCCATGACAAATACGCAGTGCCGAATCTGAAGGAGTTCCTCAAGTTGGACGACCTTCTCTCGAAATCGGGTAGCGGAATAGAAAACGGTTCAGACACGTGCAGGGAAAGTGTACGTTCACATTGACTAGCGCTTTCTACTACCGCGGCAGGTATTTCGTAGGTAGGCTAGCAATGCAACAAGCCGGCGGTACCAGTATGCGTGGGTCAAGTCCCAAGGACACCAAGAATTCAAATATATACCGAGGGGAGGAGTGCATCCTGTAATAGTCACAACGTCGCTCAAGCCCACCACCGCAGTACCAACGGAGACGGAAAGGAGTGGTGTTCATACCTTTAGGCAGAAGAGATCATCCGGGTGATTTCCAGTCGCTTCGCAAGCCTTTACCACGAAGTGCTCGAGCTCTTCGTCAACTTTCCGGGGAGGGTTTTGCCCAGGGAACAAGTCGCCTGTAGTTTCAGAGTTACGGAGCATCAACAGCAGCCCTTCGTGATACCAAGCGCGGAATGCCTAGTGGTTTGAGTCGGTTGGTCTAGTGCCTTGAGGAAGAGTCGCCAACAAAAATTCGAACATCGACATATTCCTAAACGACGAAGTCTGCTACAGTAGTTGCCAGCCTTGCAGAACAATGGAGAAAACTGTCAAGTGTTCGACGACTTACGCAGGTGACACCACAATGGCTCCACTCTTTCCTCACCGAGAAGACCGAAGAAGACGACCTCGTCCTCTCGAACAATCTTGGGGATGTTGAAGTCTCTCAAAGCGCGCATGAGCAAGGCGTCTTCGGCCAACTCCGGCTCTGCTCGCTTAAAGGCTCCCGCAACCACGAGCACGGACTGTATGTAGTTCAAGGGGGGTCCACACAGAAGACGCCAACTGCGCTTTTTTTCTTGCCGCGCACTGCTCTGTCTGAAACAGAAGGTTTGAGTATAGGCACAAACACTACGGACGGTTTGCTACTTCGGAATATCTGTTTGATTGGTGGGTCTCATTCACTTGACAATACAATGTTAACATCAAGCTACACCACACACGAATGACAAGAATCATGCGCAGGGAGCGCAACTACGGTCTGGGGAAGACCGTCCGTTGGATGGACAGTACCTTGACGGCGCGAAGCCCCCAATCGTAGTGCATCTGCTTTGAGAGCAGCTCGCGAAGGAGAGAGTAGAGTCCGTAGAACTTGGATGCGAGAACCTGAAACCACGGTGGCGGGATCTGCATTAGCCTTCAAGAACCTAGAAGAGAAAAGCTGGCCGGACCGCGATACGTCCGCATCGGCCAGCTTGTTCTTCAGCTGATTGGAAGCACGATATCTCTAACGTACATGCTACCTCCTGGCACACGTTGTCAGGGATCAACTCTGTACCAAACGAAGCACGGCGGCGAGCGAGGTGTGCGTGCACCTTGGCCTCGATGAACCCTTCAGCCATGAGCATGTTCTCACAGATGAGAACAAGGTCGGGCACCATGACTGTCATCGGCCGGAAGAGGGCCTTGAGACCTGCAGAGGAACCACAGCGAAGGGGGTGTGGATTAAACGGACGGGAAAATCGTCGATTTTGGCATGACACCAAAGTAGCGTTCGCTCGCCGGGGTTCGCAGGCGTTGGAACCCGACAAAAATACAAGATTTACACATTAGGACCTCTCCGTTATTATGGGGACAGCAGACACTTGCGGTAGTCTTGCTTGTGCCCATGCCTACCACCCACCACGTGATATTACAGGTGCGTGGTCTGCAAACATGTTCTGTCAGGGAGCATAAACGGAGTTACCGCTTTTTCTCACCTTCAGGAAGTTCAGACCGACCCAGATAACCCGGGTTCATCGTAATATAAGCTCCGCAGGTCGGGTCGAGGCTAACTTCATCGCCCTCAATGACGATGCGCGCGGCCTCGGCCTTCACTCCGTCGCATACGGCCTTGAACTAACCTCGGGGGAGAAGCGCAAATACACGACTTTGAGTCAAGGGCGTTCGGTCGTCACCACGCGACAAAAGCAGCCTTTTGGATGCTTGTCAAACCCGCGAACCCGACAAGAGGGTTGGAACTTGATTCTGCAAAACACTTGTTAGTGGTCAAATCGGAAGAGTGGGGTAAATGCGAACAAATAATTGAGTACGCGTTTAACGTTGATGCTGACCTGAACAGAGCACACGCTCAAAACTTCGGGAATGAGTCTGTTGAACTCGTCGAAGCAACCCCAAGCGCCAGACGACGCCAACCCTGTTAAAGACGAAAATTGTTGGATTACACAGAGGAGAGGGCTAGTCAGGCAAGATGGGAACCTCCAGAAAAAGCAAGTGTCTCTTTGGGGGGCAAGGAGGGGCACACATCCCAGCAGGGCGCAGCAGCTGCGCCATCTGCCGAAAATAATACTCGGACGGTAGATATGCGTCGTGTGTAACACGTTGTCTGTTGCACGGAAACCACAAGGAAGCGAATCTGAGCCATTATTGACCGATCATTCTCTCCAACAGTGATATTGATCGTGCTGTACCACAAACCGGTTCGTATTGCATACAATGTACCTTTGAAAATATTTCCGAGGCCCTGGTAGTCCATTTCTGGAGAGCAATTGAATACATAACAACATTTGGCGAGCGCATTCGCCAGATCCTTGGTGCTCTCTGTCTTTCCGGTCCCGGCAGGGCCAGCCGGAGCACATCCCATCTTCAGGTTCAAAGCCTGTTTGGTTGATGCAAAGGTCCCAAAACGTTGGACGCAGGCACACGGTCATTCAAGTTGTCCATCCACTCCAGAGCACAGGTATTGACCTGTCGGCGTCGGGGAAACTCAGAATGTTGTTTGAACGAAACTACCAGTATTAGTTAGAGGAAGACCTGTGTGGCCGTCACGTAGATCCGGTCAGTGAGTGGCGTGATAACCAGCCGCGGCCCGTTCCCGAGGTATTCGTAGTCGTAGGGCAGGGTGGCATCCGCGATGGCGATTTCTGCGCGCTCTCCGCCGGGGCCCCGTAGCTGTGGGTCTCGGTTTTGGAAACTAGCAGACGGTGGAGGCACGCGCCACTTGTGCTTTAGCTGGGACTGCCATTGGAACTCGGTCGCCTGCACAGCCGAGCAGAGATTTCCGAGAATGTGAGTGGGTAGCGTTATCCTGTTGGGCGTTTCACTTTTGTGGATGTTTGCTGCTGCAAAGATTCGTGCCTGGACGAGGGGGCATGTCGGCGATAAAAGCGCTGGGAGCGACAAAAGACTTCCGGAGAACGGGAGCAATTGGGTGATGCAATGATAATAGAACCGTCTCTGCGATCGCTCGCGATAGTGCCAAATGAGGGCTGCGCTTTCAGTTTTGCACATCTCGAGTATCGCCAAACGTTGGTCTCACCTTGGTCACGCCCTCCCTCGCCATTTTCTGAACAACGTCACGACCATGGGCGTCCATCGTGATGCAAACCATGACTCGCGTGCGGTCGCCCTTGGTCAGGTCTGACTGCGTGAGCCTGCGCATTCGAACGGCACAATCAACATCGCGATGAGCATGAAAACATATCGTGGCGGACGTTATGCCGAGGACAAAGGAACTACATCATGAAAAATCAGGGTGGATCTAATGCATATCCCCTCGCCTCTTTGTAGGGCTAACAAGGTATTCTTGTTGCGAGCGTTGTTGGTGTCTGCTATCTCGTGATCATTACGCCTACCAGGTGGACTTTTGGTCCAATACAAACATCCTGATAACTTTTCTTGTACCTGATGAGGTCATTGAGCTGATCGATCTGTTGCTTGTTGTAGTGCGTCAGAGCGTTTTGCTTGCCCTTCTGGCCTTCTATGAACGCCGCTTCTACCTGCGAAGGGTTCGTCATTCAGAAGGAGAAGGAGGAGTAGATCTTGTTCAGCGCAAGGCACATCTCAGTGGAGCTACGTACTGAGGTATCCCAATGCAAGAATACAATAACAGAAAGTTGCATGCGTTAGTGCAATAGCCCCATAGGCATGAGACTTCAGCTCACCTCGGAGACGTAGTTGATGGCCAGTGTTAGCAGAATGATTTGTGCCGGATCGCTCGGCCGCCCTGCATAAAATACGAAGAAGAGAAAAAGTGGTTGTGAGTGCGTGGGACTAATCAGTTCAACGCGAACGTAGTGGACGTGCTGTATCTACAAGTTTGTAGGATTTACCATTTTCTCTTCGACGCGACAGGGAATCTACTGCAAATACTCTTTAGTCTAAAGAAAAAAATTATTTGTTTCTTTGAACCCCTTCGCTGCACCGGTAGAATTGTCGATCGCCTGCGTCACGTGCAACAGGACGCAAACTCAGTGAAACCTTGCACATCACCCAAGCAATATTTTTCCACCTGATGAAGGATTCTTGTGCATGAGCCATTCTGGTCGGCTCATCTCATTGTAGCGAGAGAGGGAGCGCTTGAGGTTGTTGTACAGCGATGCTTTGGTGACGTCGAGGACATCCTGTGCACGAGAGAACAGGTTTCACGGGAGTTGGGTCAATCGACCCAGCATCGTAGTGTCAATGGGAGGGCGTGCAATACCAGACTTCAGCTCCATTCGAAAGGTCAGCTCGACCGTGTGGAAACAAATCTCCAATCGGGAGACTGATGATCGGAGTTCTTGGTCCACCGAAACACCAGACCAGACATACGACCCGGATAACTCGCTGTGAAGCGACCGGTGTGCCATATTGAACAAGAAGGCTGGCCGGGGGTTCCTTCACCTGCATGTATATTTCGACCTTGCCCTCAAGGGGGATGGCAGGCTCGAACTCGACCTCCTCGCTGCCGACTCCCGACACCAGCCGTACAGCCTTTGGCCTGCAACAAGAGAGAAACGCGTCGGGTGTGGGCGCATGTGAGACATCAAAATGACCTCATGGGCAAGTTATCGTAGCCTGACCACGGTGAGGTACGCATAGACAACGTAGCATGCGCTGACCTCGCTCCGATTTCCCTCCGCGACTGCACAGCAGAAACAGACAACGCTGGAGGTCAAGACTCGACCCAGGGCAATGTATTTCGACCAGCCGCAATGGGGAGTCCTAATGACCGTGTTGTCCCCAACACGTTTCAACACCTCGACCACTTGAAGAAAATGAGCACGGACCCATGCACGCACCTGCCAGATGGCATGAGCTCGTCTCCCAAGACCAAGGTCTTGCAGCAAAGGTAGACCTGCGACAGGATGACTGACACAGTGAGGAAATAAAACAGTATGAATGCAGCACGCTCGAGCGAGACGTGGTGATGACGGCGACAAACTGTAGGCCATTACATTCAAAAATCAGGCTGACTGCAGCAGGATGGCCTGCCCCCGCCGCCCTCTTACTCCTGCACGCACCTTGGGAGTGTGGACGAGAATCTTGTTGGGGTCCGACCCGTTGGATAGGATGTCAAGCAGATCTGCCTCTGACACGAAGTAGTAGCGGGGGAACTGCCGCCTCCGCCCGTCCAAGAAGTCCGCCAGACTCTTCTTGCAGAGCTCCAGTTGCTCTTGGATTGACTCCAGCTTTTCCAGGTAGCCGTCTGTGTTGCAACCATCTCGCACGCTCTTTTTCTCCCACATCTAGCGAACCAGGAGGTACAAGTGCGGAGGGAGATCCCCAAGAAAACGGAATGATCAGCGCTAAAGCAGTGGGAGGGAAGAACCCAAGTGACCGCAATCCAACCAACCGCCCTCGGTCTAGATTATTGGCTGAGCTGCTGGATCTTGAAAGGAGATCTCCTAACACTATTGACTCACACTTTTCAGAAGAGCCTTGACGTCGGTATCGATGCCTTCGAAACGCTTGGCGTCTTCCGGAAGTTCCTTCTTCACTTCTTCGGAGCCAATGAACAAGGGCTCCAGGTAAGACCACGTTCGCTGGATTTCCTGAAGGATGGTGAACACATCACTGCGGACAGAGAAATTGCGCCCGACCGTTGGGAGCAGTAAGGTTTCAAAGCCTACAGAACACACACGCATGGTTGCATGTTTCACGGCTGTGTTTGGCGATGGAAGTACTATCACAAAATGCGACGGTCCCATGACTACGCTGTGTACGCAAACTGCATGGGAGGTACAAACGGCCTATTGTCGAAAGCCGCGGATGTCGTACCTGACCATGCTGAGCTGGGTCTGCCAGCCGCTCACCACCTCCTCGAACTGCGCGAGGTATCTCGAAGCCATCATGCCCTGTACCACCAGCTGGTCCGCCTGTAAATCACAGTGTAAATATCGCACATGGACGACAGTTTTTAGGTACACGACGTAAGGGACTGCAGGCGAGGGATGGCTATCGGGAACGCCAGAGGCATCTATACGGGGCTCTATCTGTTGCCGTAGGGCGATTGTTTGAATGGAACACTTCTGCCACTGCCCAATTGGCATCCACTTTGAACGAGGACAGGCATGTGTGTCGGAACACCAGCCAGGTTACGCTGCACGTCCTCTTCGATTCGCCATGCACACAACGCAGAGCATCATACAGCCACATCACAACCTCTCTTGTTTCTCTGGCTTACAGTTGTGTAACAAGTGGTTACCTCGAGTGCCTCGAAGTCCTCTTCCGCCATCTTCAGTAGAGGAACATCTCCACCCTTGTAAGGGTCCATGCCCCAGACGATGTTGTTCCACCGCTCTGCTAGCTGCGCTAAGGTGACCTCCATCTTTTCCTCTTTGATGGCCTGTCATATCGCACGTGCAAGCATCGATCCTGTTATTTGCTTGTACTTGCGTGGTACAGCACTTCCCCTCCATCTGGTATGGACAAACATCCACAGGTAACAGTTGGAAGGCTGACAAATATCACCAACCTCGTTCTCTACTCAAGGATGCTTAGGGTGTCAGAAATCCTCAGATGACGCGTTGGCTATTCCATTGATTGGTTTGTACCTGGTCCGCAATCTCCTCCACATCAGAGCTGAACTCGTGCAGATTGAGGGCGAGAAGGCCTCCTAGCTTGAGCTGAGGATCTTGGTACGGAGGAACGAAATCCTTGCCTATGTTTCGCGAGGAAAACAAGAATCCCAGAAAAAGAGTCGTCGTTAGGAGTCACCGCAACAAGAGAGATAGCTGTACTACAAGTTGTGTAGCAAGCAACAAGGTCGTCTTTGAGCGACTACTTCCAGGAAGCAATCACAGATTCTTCTGTTTCTCATAAAAAATGGTGTCGGTAGTAGTCATATCGAAGAAAGAACCCTTTATCCTAATTGTCACGGGTCCAAGATATCCAGTTCAGCTCGTGTGATAGCACAGCCACCCTCAACCCCTGCAATAATTAGACTTGGCTTATAAACGAACTTGCCTGTTGCTTTCATCAACATCATCCAGTGCCGAGGTCTCATTGCTTTGTTCCCGAGCAACGAAATAAGCGGGATGGTATTGAGGAAGTCCTTGCAAAGCTTGTCCTCAGCCTGCGGGGATACGAATTGCCCAGAGGGAAGAAGCAAGCGTCCGTTGTAGAGGAACGGATCCATTGTCAATCACGGTGTTCTAGACCCAACTCTGAAATACGTTGTTGCTCATTGGGAGTGCACTGAGGTGAGAGTGGTTGGTGAGCGAGATGGCATAGCTGCTACAAGTAGAGGCGTTTGACTCACTGGAGTATAGATTCCACCATGATGTTTCTGACCACGAACCAGTTCATCATCTCCCTCTTCATAACGATTCGAGAGGAGGGGTGCTTTGGCCACCACCATGGGAAATTGAAACGAAATGTCAACACTGCTCAGATTGGCCACCTTGTAAGCGCCGCACCACCGGATATCCTTGTGCCCCGCCGCCTTCACATTTTTCATCTGCATTTTTGCGTCGTCCTCGAGCGCTTCCGGTGTCACCTGGGTTCAGGACGAAGTCACGTATTGTAAGCCCCTATGATTTTCGACGCGGCTCTAATCAGAGATCAGCTACGCATGTCATCCAAACCACTAAAACTTGTCATTACCACCAGGTTTGGGGTTGGAACACGTACGGAGTCGATGTTACCCCTGCTCATCGTTGCCACGTTGTGCACCCGTCTCACCTCTGACCAAAGCACCTCCTTGCTGTCCTGGATGAAGGTCTGCAGCTCTTCGCACACGTCCCATACCTAGGAAAATGATTGGGGGGGGCGTCGTGAAGTGAAGAATATGTAGGAAAGGCGCACGTCGGTCCTGTATTTTGGTTTCTGGGTGATGAACCGAGTTGTGTGTCGCCTCAACCTCCATTCCGTACGTTCTCTCCAATCTTCCAAAGCCTTTGTTGTTGCAGATCAGCACCAAACCGTGCAGTTTGCTTCGAAGATGATTGATGTCAGCAAGAGAGGGCAAGGTCAAATTTTGCACGATACGATGCATACCCGAAACGGGGAGCTTTTGTTTGGCCAATGACAGCGGTCGCCGAATACTAGCTAGAGTCGTCTTGGAAACAGGACTTCGCAACGCTTACCTTGTACATGAGCTTGCAGTTTGACTCCATGTCCGCAATCATCCGCTGGCTCTCCTTGATGGCGTCTGGGAACTCAAACAACGCGCACAAATGAGTGGCCGCGTCTAACTTTTTCCTTTCCTTCGCCAGGGCGTCCTCGGCCTCGCCCAAAGCCTTCCTGCCCTCCTCTGCCCCGCACTCGAACTCCCAGAAGGGTCGCACCTTGAATTCTTTCAACTGCCCCCCGGTAACGCGCGTGTGGTTGACGAAATACGAGGTGTGTAATTGCCGAGATACGATTCAACAACGCTTGTACCTGGCACGAGAGATTCTCAAGGATGTCAGCGTCGCATAGCGTGGCGGGGTTTCTCCAAAGCTAGGTGCCAAAGTGGGCCCATGAAACTGGAAGCATGAATACCGTCGTTGTAATCTGTAAAGGACGATGCTTTTCTTTTCGCCATCTCAGTACGAACGTCCTCTTCATGTTGTAGAAGATTCCATCCCTTGAAACACTGATCTTGATCCCACAGGGGCACGCGCGTGCACTATTTCTTTGGCTCATTGGGGTATCCGCTTAGGTGTACCAGAATGTGCGTCCGTCACATCACGTTGTTGCGGCCGGCAAGATCTGTTAGGAACCGATCGATGGAGAGATTTGTTTGCGCGTACCTGTTGCTTAACAAGGCCCTGGTACACTTCGATCTCTTCTTCCGTCTTCTCCGACCACAACTTTGTCAGCGGGACTAAGTTTTGCTGCGTGGTTGGGGCCTGAGACTTGACATCTGTCCACACAGTGGCAGCATGATCCAGGGTGTCCAATAGCCTAGTGGGCAAGACGAGGAAGCATTAAAACACGATGGCAACGAGACAAGTACATTTGTAGAGCCGCGATCAGTTGTGAATCAGCCTTTGACGCAGCGATAAGTACAGGTTTCGAATGATTTCTGTACTTGGTCATTTCCGTGGTTCCCCGAAAAACGCCGAACGAAACGAAGAGCTACAGCAAGAACGACAACAGAACACCGTATCTTCGGGTCAGTATATACAGAACACACCGGTCGACATTCTTTTCGCCCTTCTTCCTCAAGACGAAGAGCGCCGCACGGTTGGCATTTATCCGCAGATCCAGCTCCTCGCGACGAGCCTCCGTTTCCTTGAGGTACTCCTTGCACTTGATAAGCTCGTGCCGGTCGTCCTTGGGAATGTTCTGGTGATGGGATCGAGAGATCGAGCAAGCGGGTACGACATCAAACGCCAACACTAAGGTGTCGTCGATATTGCCGTCGGTAGCAGACACATTCCGAACCAGTTAACGCCAGAGTGTCCACCGGAATTCCATCCAGACTGGAGCAACCACGGTGAGCATTGAACCATTCACGTCAAAATCGACAACCAGGAGGTTGGTCCAATTTGTGTTGCACGCGCACAACACCGGGTGCCCCGATTTCTCTCTTCCCGTAGATAATCGGATCGTTTAGCGTATCTCCTCCGCGGCTGCCTTCAAACGTAGGGGGAAATGTACATGGCATGGTACACAGAATGTTTATTATCAGTGTAATCGTCCTTGTTGGCCTCCATGTTGCACGCAGAATCAGGTCGGTTTGGCCGCTCTGAATTGTTGTTTTTTCTTGGCATGGGAGCTGTTTTGTCGAGACCCCCATATTGGCTGTGTGATCCCACGACGCTCGCGAGGGATGGATCTTCAACGGGTCACTATGGTGCCTACCTTCCTGAGGCCCTTGAGGGTCTTTGTGGAGTACTCCTTGAGCTCTTTCGTGGAGTCCTTGATGGTGGACATCAGCAATGGTCCGTTCAGCGAGTTATTTTCCCGGTCTGAGTCATCCTCGCAAACGGAAGTAAACGGTGAGCCGCAGATTGGCCCGGCAATCCCCTGCGGCCGTCCATGGTAGCAGGAAAACAGCGTGTGGTAGAAAAGTTGTCTTGCACGTCTGTACGGCTTGTGAGGGAGGCTGATCATCACGGCAGAACTTGAGGAATTTCTTCGTAACAATTAACCTTGCTGCATATGGCACTTCCACGATATAGTCGGATGTTAGAAATACCTGGAACGTCCCTAGGAATTCCACGGACACCCGGTATTCGCCGGCGCAAGGGGGGGTGTACGACACCAGGTAGGTCCCGTCCATGTTATCCTGACGAAGTTTGACAGTGCGGACGGCATGGGATAGCGATGTGTATTGGCGAGCGCTTAGCCCGGCAGTTGGTATGACACGGTGTTAGTAGATGGGGTTGAAGTACGGTGAGAATTGTTCAGGTGTCAATATATCGACCTGGCTTGTGAGCAGCGTTCTTCCGTCAGGTGACTGGTCGAAACCAGTTGAGGGTACGAGTCGATACGCACGGCCCTGCTGTTCTCCTCTAGTTTTGTATAGCGTCGAGTCCGCGGCGTTATGTTCACCTGTATGCTAGCGGCAATGCCAGGAACAACCTCCTCTTCTTCCTCCTCCCCTTCCTTATCCTTGGACTTAGCTGCAGCCTTGGCCGCCTCTTTTAGCCGCTCCGCCTCTTCAGCGACATTCACCACTTCCACACGGAACTCGTCCATACCGCAAACGCGATCATTCCCGATCTGGTCAACAAAAAGCAGAGAAAAAAACAGGTAGGGATGTGTATAGCCAATACGTTTTCCTCTGTCTGTCGTTCTTTAGTGCTTCTTCATCGTGAGTGGACTAGAGAGACTACATGAAGTCTCCATTCTTGCTGCTGGTACAAAACAGCAAAGACGAGATTGTCATGCACAACGGGAGCTGCCTTGTGGTGTCGTAAAATCTCTTCCCAGGTATTGTATGTGAGCAAGGTTTTACCGTTACCCCACGCGCGGTTAGCGCCCCAGGAGGACTCACGATCTCGAGAGGAACGTCAATGCTTGAAGCACAAATCACCTTGTCCCGAGCCTGTATCATAAACACCACAGGTACAGCTGGTGCCGTGCCGTGCAGAAGCCCCGGCCCGAACGCCACTGTCTTAGTGGCGTCTCCCACGCTGAAGTACTGGAAGTTGACCTTGGTATTGGTGAGACCTTTCGGACCGATCGACAGCCGGCATTCCACCTGTCGGAACAGGGTCAAGATCGATGAAGAAGCCAAAGACCTTCACGATGAAGAAACACGATCCCTTCAGACCAAATCCACACACGGCGTGTTCTCCGACTCCGCATGGAAGTCCTCTCGAAGATATCGATGAGATCAGCGAGCTTTTCCCGACGGCAAGGAGTAGATTTACCGTCATCGCAAGCACAGGTGAAACAAGGCCTGAATTGACCGACACGCGACCGCGGTGCTTGTTCATGGTATCACTCTTCTTGGTTCATTGTCACGCCGAAAACGACAATTGTGGCATGCACGGTTCGTTAGAATTTGGCGAGGCCGTTGGTGTGAATCAGAGCGTTGGTTATTGGTCGCACACCTGCATGGGGCCGAACTTCTCGAAACTGGGTGTATGGAAGGACACCTCGGTATCGTTCACGACTCGCCCTTCCGTCTCGACAAAGCCCTTGGGACAGGCGAACCTTACGTTCACGGACCCAGAGGTTGAAGAGAACCCCATACCAGTGATCTGCGAAAAGGAAACACGCGCGGGGGTTGGTCCGCAGCGCCTTCATATCCTACGGTCAAAAGGAAATATCTTCGTCCATAGAGTACACCTTCTGCAGTAAAGATACTCTAGGGCGTGGTCAGTTCGGTGTGAGAGCTCATGGTTGAGATGCTGTCAAATGTTGCCGGAAAGAAAAAAGGACCACCTCGTGCTTCGTGCACGGGAGCGGGCTACAAATCATGTCGCACCGTGGACTCAGTTGCTCCGGTGATGGCGCCAGACCCAGGTGTTATTGCCTCTAAGGAGTATGGAGGGCCCACAACCTCACCCACGGAGCAGACGTGAAGCTCTCCCCACCTGAGCGAACGCGAGCGACTTTCAGTTGACGGTGTAGGATCTCAGGTTGGATGCCAGCGCACCCCGCGAGAGAGAGGCCTCAACGTATGTGCGGCCATCCCGTGACATGTATACTGAAAGAGAGAAGCCCTTGTCAGGATGGTTGGTTGTTGCGGCCGATGCAATGGACGGGAACAAGAAGCTTTGGCAGCCCCCTTGACTTCTCTATTTATTACACCACCACATTGAATCAAAGGGTACCCGTGCGATATATTTCGAAGCTCTCCCTCACCACTTGTTTGCCCAGCCCCCGAACAGGAGCAACCGAGAGTTGGTCGTGTCGTAAATCATCTGGTACACAGGAACAGCAGAACAAGGGCATTACTGCCCGCATGAGTGCTTGTTGCACACGTACAAAGTCGAAACGTGGCTGTCAGGTGTAGTATACTCAGCAAAGCTTACGAGGGTGAGGTGAAGCAAGGCGTGCGATAGGGCAGCCAACGCCCAACCTCACTTCTTACTTAGCCAATATCGGTTGGGGCCCAGATCTGCTTCCAACACAGAACTACAGTAATTTCAGCACTACGCATGTATGTTTCCAATATTGCAGCATCGCAAACTCCATTGCAACTACCTCGCAACACGAGGCACCTTCGAGAAGCACGTAGCGGTGTGGACCAAGGTTTCACCTGAGTATCGGACCTCGGCTCGGGTAGCTCTCCCACGACAGACGTCGCGGTCCACGTGTTGCTTCCCGTGTTGAGCACACACAGGTCGTTCCGAAAATCCCCCTGTAGGGAACCAGGCGTGCAAAGTCAACGAATGGTTGTATGTTTTCATGTAGCCATTGGCTAATTGCCAACTCGGGAATGCCACACGCTCCTAGGAAGCTCTCGACTAGGCGATAGGGGGTGCCATGAACGAAACGATGATGTATATAGCCCATGCCTGCTCTGGTAACGATAGCCGCACCCAAAATCCCCAGGAGTACTATCATCTAACCTGCGGGTTTCCTCCCTCCGCGAGATTCCCGCTGTTGCCTCCGAATACGAAGACCTTCCAGTGCGGGACAGCAAACACTCCCACGGCCGAGTGGTTCCACCTGTGTCACGTCGGTGCCAGCAAGCCGCAGAGGGCGCAAAAGGAAGATCGAAAATTTCGCATACGTGTGACTACGGTTGTGAACGGGCACCCTGAACCATGCAAGGGATGCGGTGTACAGCAACAAGTTAGGCTCTCGTGCGCTGATTCCTTACGGTTTTTCTAGAGTGTTTGGGTTCGCGAAGTTGTCAGTCCCATCCTCATGTTCCAAACCTGGGAGGCCCCCATGCATTCCCACTCCCGCAGTCAGCCTTACTCCACCCCCAAGTCTTGGTGTCGAGGATGAAGAGGTCGTCAAATTGCTGTACCGAGTTCCATCCACCACACACGTATAAGGCGTCCTTCACAACCACGGTCTGTTCGGGAGAGAGCAACAGTCGTTATGGTATTAGTCCGCAAAATAGCACCGGTGGCGATGAAGAAAAAAATGTTGGTGCCCGCGCTGCTCACGAGACTCGTTGTTGTACGATGCTACACAGATGCTACCTATTGTAAGCAATGAATGCACGCTCCGTAAGCTGAAGAAAAAGAAAAAGCCATGGAAGAAATAGAACGAAGTGACGGCGCCTGTCACTTTTCGCATTGCTTTCTTGAGTCCTTTTGCAAGGAGAGACAGAATCCCACAACGAGCTCATCAAAGATGTGACTGGTGTGTTTTCCTCTCGCCTCACGCACCTGATGCCCTGATCGGGGTTCTGGCAGCTCTCCCGTCGGTTCGATTTCTACCCACTCCCACGTGCTCAAGTCCAACACCTGCGTAAAACGCAACATTGAGCCGGGACGCCTTCTGAATGAGGAACCAATTCTACCCATTGTAGGCGGTTGTCAACGCCAGACCTCCTTGAAAAGAATGGTCACAGAGTAATCGCGGTAGGCGCGCCTCTCTTTGAGTGTGTACCCTTGGAGTCGATCTGTTTCTTGTTTATTTAATTGCAAGGTTGAAGGGAAAAACGTAACCTGGACTTCGCTCCGATTACTGTTACCCGCACTGATACTTACGTACACATCATTGAAATCTCTCCGGCTGAAACCTGGGCCTCCGTATCCCCCAAACACTACAAGCGAGTTTCCAATCAGACACCCAGAATGTGATCCTCGCGGGTCGGGGCACCCCTTCCATGGTTTCTTGAAAGTAACAGTTCCTGAGGATCACGACCGAACCGGGGATTGGGAAAGTGGGATGTAAACTCGAGATGGATTCGGCGCGATACTTTCCGATCATACACTAGCACTGGAGACAGACAATTGTAATCCTGAGCTCTGAGAACAATAAGTTGAGACATATTGACTCGAGCGCTCGTGTGTTGCATGTGTATTTTGAGCCCCCATTGGCATGGCGCGCGGGTAGGGGCATGGGATCTCAAGAATGACTGAATTTGCAGGGGTGTGTTTCCACTTGCAGTACTTGGCATCTTAAGCAAAACACATTCTCACCATCTTCTGCTTCTTCCGTTATGCCAGGCTGCGGCTGCGACCACTTATCGCCCTTCGTATCCAGTAACCACAAATCATTGAACCGAACGCTGGAAGAACGAAAGCCGCCAAACAGCACCAGGGTGCTAGGAGGCTTGACAGCGACAATATGGTTCCAGCGGGGCGCTGGGCACCTTCCTGGCGTTTTGACTTTCTGCCAATAAAATTCCCCGGCTAAACAGGCAAGGTGGCGTACGAGACGAGCGGCAGTGCGATATTCGCATTTAGAAGGCAGTTGACACCAGCACCAACACTGCGGTCGTACGGCCCTCAAGGAGTGACCAAGTTAACACAGTTTCCCTCTCTCGGTCCCTTCGTATTGTGCAGTAGACAACAACATCGCAGGACGCTTCATTGGGAAGTTACATGTAGGCTCGGCAACAAGCCCGAATAACAATCTTTGCTTGTATGAGCGCACCATCGGGCCTCCTCAACATAACCGCTATTTCGAAAAACAACTCTTGCTAGAGACGTACTCGAGGTACTTACGATTGCTCATGTCGAGCTTGAACATTTGGTTAGTCGGCCCCGGCGGTCGAGCTTGTGGTACCCCGCCAAAGAGGTACCCTGTACTATCGACGACTGTGAAGGAATGCCCCGACCGCTTGGTGGGCACCTGTGTACAAGGGAGAGGAGTGGGCACATCAGTCGCTACTTTTACGGCCACCAGGCCCGTGATTGAACGTGTGGGGCATTGCGATACCGTTCGTTCCGCGCGAAACTTACATGTGTCTACGCGTGTTATTGGAAGAGTGACGTCTTCCAACCAGGACCCATCATTTGACTGCTGTTCAACAGAAGTGTGGTCCACTCATGTAGTATTTGCAAGATCTCCCCGCCTATGTAATATGTATATCTCTTACCTCCCCCATGCACTTGGGTTTCTCCCAGCGCATCAGCGGTTGAGCTTGCTGCAATGGCGGGACGTGCAAGAGAGCGTGAGGGCAGCAGCCAGAACTCGAGGTTGAGAAAAATTACATTTGAACGTCGAAATGATGACTGCTGCTGTATGTAGACTTTAGAGCGCAGTTGCAGAGTTCCAAAATAAAAGCAAATGGCCTTGTGTACCATGACCGAGTGTACAATCGTCGAAGCGAAGGTAGTCGCAAACTTGCTCTATCGTAGCACGCCTCACCTCTGGGTCCCGATACGCGTCGCTTACATCGAACAAAGGCTGGCAGGTATGTGTACAAAAGTCAAGTCGGGAATCGAGTGTACACCATGCTGTAGTTGGGGCGGATTTCGAGAGCGTGCACGATGTAGATACGGAAACAATTGTCGGCTGCCGGAAGGTGACTTACCATGATAGCACGTGGTGGATAGCTAAGTTTTCCACCACCCCTGCCCTCTCCTTTCCAGGCTGAGTCGCAGGCAGCCACGAAAGCTGTGGGTGTGCGGGAAAATGCGGCGGAATCAGGGTGGTGGTTGACGGTTTCGCGCGGCGAGATAATGTCGCACAGGAGACCAGTCAACAGTCAACGAGGGCTGCGTTCCAGACATACACAAAGCACATGCCTTGTAACTTCTAGCTCGATTGCTGAAGAACGTATCCGTGGTGCAGTGCTGGTGGCTGCATGGGGCAACAGCTATGTCGGGGATTCTACTCAGGTATTCGACACACGATCCACGGGTGTGACTAAGAAAAAAAAAATGCTTTGCATCGACGTTCATCAGGTCCAGCGGCCTACATGTACTGTACAGTAGTTCCACACCTACACTGCTGCTGGTGTCAGCACATGCAACTATTCAAGCGAGGCCATTTCGCTAACCACAGCGGCGACGGTATGGAAGATGCGGCACCCCTACCTCCAACCTTCAGTACGTATCTATCATTGTCTTGATTGCCGTACAGTAGGTTGCACAAGATACCACCCCTGAACCGAACTCCAATTCTCGACTTGTACAGCAGTACATGCACTCCACCATGAAGTGGATAATACAAAAAGTATATGATCACAGAGACAGATCTTGACAAGACAATTCCATCGCCTCCATTGTTGGCACCGTCGCTGTTTTTGGTGCCAGCATACTGTAGTCTGGTTTTGCAAGCCGGTCCAAGGGGTGTGGTATCTTATGCGACCAACGTACCACATGTTTAATGTCCGAACAATACCATGGCATCGCAATCGGGATGTATCATGCCTGCGATCATGCACTATGGCCTCAGGTGGCTGAACGAGGATCTTGCCCTCAAGCAACGGGTTCTGAACTTGGAACACGATTTGAGCAATGGATATTTGCTCGGAGAGATCCTTCACATCCACAACCACCAGCCCAATTTCGCTCTATTTCAGGTACGTAAACCAAGGTCCCATGGAGCTCATTCGGGTTTCTGGGTAGACTACGGTAGAGGTGATACGATGTTTATATACCATAACCGTAGTTTAGGATAGCAAAAACAAAATCGTACGCGCGCACCGATAGTTTTGTCCTTCATAGAAGAAGTACTACTGCTGTTGCGCATAATGGCTTCGATGAAACTTTGATTTTGGTGATGCTTTGAGGCTTCAAGGACAAACTTCACGTCATATCGACTTTAAGTGTATGCTGCTATCATCCCACTGCGATTAATTACAAGCCAGCTTCGCCTAGGTTAGGGTTATTCGATGTGATATTGCTGATAGTGACTGAAATTACTTTGAACCTACTGCTAGGAAAGACAAGGTTCTACCATAACTTCGTTCACATTACCCCGAGGCTCATCATCAAAGCAATGCGATCGTCACGGCAGGAACTGGAGACATCAGAAGCGAAAGTGAATAACTTCATCCTCCTCGAACCTACACTTCGCCTCCTGGGCGTTCCATTCGACGCACAAGTGGCGTATAACGTCATGCAGGGAACTCCAGGAGCGATTAGTGGTCTTCTCTACCAGGTACATGGCATTTTTTCATGTGAAAGACGGTCATAAACCGCCCCATGTCATCAACAGAGACAAACACATAGAGCCAGACGTGACAAAAGTAAGGGGTATGAAAGTCGCTCAAACCCTTTGCACAGCACCCGATACTTTGGGCAGCACTTCCGGAAGCGTTCAGGCGCCAAACCAAAGTCCGACTCAGGCTACTCAGCGAAACTGGGAGCGCTCGACCGCAAATCGCATCGACGAACTCACTCCACCCTTTGGTTGTATGATGCGCAGATGAAAATGGTGCTGGACCGTTTGGCCAAGTTCTCCGTGCCCGTGTCCATGCGGCCCACTACCAGCCCGGCGGGCGTGAAGCCCCTGCCGAACCTGTCGCAGAGAACCACAAAGCCTCAGTACGACCGGGCGACACACAGCATTTTCGCAGCTGCCGTCCGCAACATGGTACAGAGCCAGAAAGGAATTAACCTTGAAAGGTGAGCACCCACTCAAAGTCATATGATACCGCCTGCTTCGTATCAAACTCGTGGATCCGTCATCTACGGAAGTGCTCGTTCGAGTTCACTGAAGGCGAATATTTTTCCGTGATTTCTGACTAGGGGTCAATCCATGGCTGTGTCATTTGATACACGTTTCGCTCTTCACAACGACTCCCTTCGGATTCCGATAATCTAGCCATAGTAGCGCATCTGGTGTACACATGACATGCATCGCCGACACACCAATAGTGGCCTGCATCGTACCATTACTAGCCTCAAGTCAGTACAGAGAGGGTCACGTCCAGTGAAACTAACCCCCCAAAACGAGGTTATTACTGTTATCTGCGTTTTCGAGAAGCAAACTCGGCTGTTTTTCCTGACCAGTTACTTCCCTTTGAACACGACCCCAAGATCATTGCGGCGATTTGAGGTGGAGGGCGCAAGGCAAAAGAGGATCGTGCAGGTCGAGAAAGAGAGGTAAACCGCTTTCGAATTTTATCATCTTCCAATGTGTTTGAGGTTGGTTGATTCCTCAACGTGACAGTGTCGAGAATCGCTAGAGTAGGGACGAGTGTTCCTCACGAGGACACGATGACCAATTAGCACTCTAGCTCGTGCTCTTGTCACGGCCAGCTATAACCATCATCGACAAAATTGAAACTTTGTACCCCGACGCTTGTTGCCAGGTCTTTGCTAGCGGAGGAGCTCCACACGGAGGCGATTCGACTGCAAGGGATCCATGACTTGGCACAGGTGAAACAGGGCGCCGCACGAGGCTCTGCATACCGTAGTTGCTCCGGCAGGCTCCTGCTGTTCCCTCCGCCCAAACACGAAGGCCTTCACCACCAGCCGCGGTTGAACCTCCGGTGGCATGATTCGTTCATCGCAATGAGGGTTTAAAGACCACCTTCCGATGCCATGTAAGGTTGAATACGCTCACTGATTGAAGCAACGCTTGGAACACACAGGATATGGCGCACTGGACATGGGGTGTGACTTCTCCCGAGGTGCTCCTTCCACTCGTCACCTACAGACCTTCAACATGCTGGCCATTTTCTGACCAACCACCTTCACTCACCCCCGCCCCTCCTTCGTGAAAACAGAGAAAAGCTTTGTGCGACTCGTGGGAGGAGAACAACGTCGACGACTGGCTGATCAACATGGACCGCAAACGGAACCGGTAAGGCATATTTCTAGTTCATCGGTGACACAGAAATCGGTTCTTTGGGGGGTGTGGCTGCATGTGAGACAGATCTCTTGGTGCTGCGCGCACGGTGGTAGAAAAAAGGATTCGCCAAACGTTTCGACACCATGGCATCAATCAAGTGCACCCCGCCGCGCAACACCCACACGCATGATTCTGTATCGGTCTCGTCTCGATTGTGCCCACAGGGAACTGCGCATCCACCGCTTTCGACGTAGAGTCGTCAGGGCTCGTGCGTCGCGAATACAGCAAGCCAAGATGGCCGGCCAAAGAGCGGTTCAGTACGATCTACCCGCTTTCGAAGCGCGCTCCCGAGAAGCTTCCCGCACAGGTGCAGCCGCCTTGAAATCACACTGCACAAGACTATATGTCGAAAGCTGTGACCCGGTTTAGTTCGGACCGGCCTCGACGCCCTCACACTGGGCTAGCTTAATGCCGAAGGACGACTTTGTAGGCCGACATTATCCCCATTGTGTCATGACCACTAGGGCATACCGCGCTCATGCACACCCGGGTTTTTTGCTCGCTACTGGGCAACATGTGGCAGTCTCCCTTGCTGTCTGTTTCCAGCTAGTGGCAATCAGGAGGAGCACGAGGCCACGCCCTGGGCGTTTGCCGCGTCAACCCGGGGCTTCCTCGAAGCGAGAGCTTTGGAAAAAGGCTACGAATGGCAAATGGCCAAGTTCCACTCGAAGAGATCTGAGGAGCGCATCGGGGCGAGAGAGAAACGAAGGTGCGCAGCGAGCGGCAAGCGGTAGATTTCTCTTTTTGCGTCCCTCGTGGCAAAGTCGGGAGCACTGCTTGGAGGGGCAGCAGAGCATGGCGAAGCTTGTTGGTAGCTTAGCGATTTGCGTCATTTGACCATTTTCTCCAGGTCCACCCTATGACTCAACGTATGAGTCCTAGTGGTGGCGAATGATACCGCGAATGATACCGTCGAACGTACGTTCTTTTCGGAGTTCCGTTCAGCGAAGGGACTGCAGGACTGTTGGGACAAAAGGGCCGGCTAAGGTCACCGTCAAGAATATTACCGTAGACTCTATCGGTGAGCCGGATTTCATCCGCAACCAATTTCCCCAGGCGGAGGTTTATCACGGAACGAGAGGAATCTCAATCGCATGAGCATCTCCAGGCGGGAGCGGACGCGCTCAAGCAGAAGCTGATGAAGAGGTGCCACGCGGAGGAGCTTGTCGAACGGCAGCTCGAGTCGGTCTTCAGGTGGGCGCTCTGCATACAGTCAATCAAAAAGGCCTTGCATACGTCTGCTTCTGCTGAGTCATTGAAGAAGGCCTTGCTTGCGTTCGTAGTCAACCTCTGCTGGTTGAAGCAGTGGGTGATATTGTTGATATCGTAGCCCCGCAGCAAGCCCGCTTTCCTTTTTTCAATGGTGACAGTGCCAACTTGGCGATCCATTCATGTAGCACGGAAGAACAAAGCCATGGGTCATTTCGACATTGGATTTCGCCCAGCAATCTCCTGCTCTGTTGGCACGCTACATTGCCGTTATCCTGAAGGTACAAGGCGATCATGACCGAAAACCGAGAGTATCGCAAGCAACAGTACGCCGCGAGGGCAGACGTGGACGCGGAAGCCCTGCTCAAGGTGCTAAGAAACAAAACAAAGAACTTTCAGGTCTAGAATATGGTGGCGATTCTTATCTCCTGTACGCCGTTGAAAATTAGGTGTTCCAATATAGGTCTCGACCCAAAGTCCAGAGGCTCCGGACGCCCACCTGTGCTGATCGGTGGAGAACAAGTATATTTGCCACGGATTCTGAGCGTTTCTGTACGGAATGCCCGCGTCCCATGGGAAAGTGTCGGCTGTCCTTCGTCCCCACGCTCACAGCGCGATCAGGCAAGTCTGGATTCCTTCCGCCGCGAATACGAGTTGAGGGTGAGAGCGCACGCCGAGCGGTGTGAGGCCGCTGCAGTGACGACAGCGGCCGCAGGCGCGACGAGGTTAGACCCGTCGTTCCAACTAGGCTCGTGCCTTGGGTTTCAACGTTGTTTTGTACGGCAACGTGTGAGGCGTTGAATACCCACCGTCTCCATTTTCAAGGTCGAAACACACTCGTACCATCTCACTGTTTAACAACTAATACTCTGGTTTCATTGTTTCATTCTCCATTGTTTTTCAAGGTGAAGCACGAGCGCTGTTATCAGGTCGTTCCGGTCCACAAAAAAGGGTTCATTTATTTAATGCTGCCGATATAGGCGCCGAGCAACGCAACAGACATGGGCCTATGTTTACATATGCATGAGGGGTTGAACGTTGGTCTCCCAATCCGCTTTCCGAACGAGCCGCGTCGTTCATATAACCCGCCTCCGTTTCGTACATCTGATACTGACGCAGGATCGAGAAAATGTGCCGAGAGACTCTCGAGGGCCTGTTTGCGCTATCGATGGAAGTGGTGAGGTACAGGGCGTACAACGAGCACCGGCGAGAGCCAGGCGCATTGTCACCAGACCAGGACCCCATGCCTAGTCTTCATTGGAAAGACATGAAATGCAGCTTCATCAGGTGCGTGCGCACAGCAACCGATCCACCCAATAGTTCGGGTTGGAGGTGCGGCACTTTGGTTGTAGGGGTCGTTTCGCTGTCCTCACCGCGTGGAGACCGACCAACGCGCCAACAAGCCGCTGCCGTGTTCGCCTTGGCCCCTCCACTACCGGAAAATGAATTGCCCTCAAGTACGTTCGTTGAGTTTGTTTCATCGCTGGTTCCAACGAACAAAGATGTGGATGCAACCACGGCCTCAGTTTCGGTGAATATGCAACAGCTAAGTGCACGAGTTGATCCTCTCCCGACGGCTGCCCTTGATACGGCATGGCTAGGGGTGGTCCCCTGCTGCACATGGGTACGACCGTCACGGAGCCTGCGAAAGAGTGGGGGTCCACCTCCTTGCTACCCCTCGCAGAGGGAAGAATCGATGAGTTTTGCGCGCCAGGTCAAGACGACGAGACGAAAGAAACGGTAAGCCGCCATCTAGCCGTCGCGCACTGGTTTCTGTTCAACACGACCCGTGTGTGCCCAAACAAATAGTCAAACCAACGGCATTGTAACACATCCGATAGACTCAAGGAGACTGCCTTCCTGTTTATGATGACCGCAGCGTGATTTATGTTGTCTAGAGTGGCAGGTCTTGTTCATGCACCCCACGGTCGAATCCGATCGACAACGTCTAAAACGGAGTTTTTTGTACCCCAGGTGGCATATTTTCTGGATGGCTGTGAATTTGAAGACTACATCAACGAGACCGGTTGGTGGGGCAAACATGGCCCAAGTTCCGGACCCAAAGATTCCGCTCAGGCGGCAAGCGTCGCCGATATCACCCAAGCTAATCTTGGATCAAGCAAGTCCTTCATGGAAGTGAGTGGATACATTTATCTTTTATGGATCGGGAGACGCGACCAACATACTGTAGAGAACGAAACTGGGTCGGCGGGCTACATATCATCGGTGCGGTAGAATTTAAGGTGGAAACCGGCGCACTGCATTTGAGCCCTGTGTCCACCACGGCGCCTTGTGTCTCTCTTGTGCGTTTATGCTATGTCCCTAATGCCCCGGCCGAACCCGTTCACCTGTTCGGCGCGTCTGTCAGGACGGCGATGATGCCAAAACCGTCGATCCCACGGGCTCGCTAGAGCCTTCCGCGCCTTCATCGATTGCCAGCGGCGAGGAAAACGTCCTCAACACAGCGAACCCGCTCCACGGACTTGGAGAGTGCGTGATCGAAACGGCACTGGCTGCCAACCCGCTGCCGCCGCCTCGACCCCCTCCCGATGTCCCTACGTTTAGCTTGCGCATATGTATGTGTGGGAGAACCCTGACTGGGAAGAGCGAACAGGCCATTCGATTGGCTGACAGGTACTGCCTTAAGGTGAGCCTATTGCAAGAGACGGACGGCGGCGGGTGGTCGAAAGGGGAAAAACATTCAACCACCAACCAGTTCGTCGAAGAGGGTAACGTATCAAGGTTATCTGCGGGCGAGTACCAGCGGGAGATCAACGGATTATTATTGTCGCCATGTCACGTTGCGTAGGTCCTGTCGGCGGAAGGGCTAGCGCAAAGAGCCATAGATAACGCAGCAAACGCGATGGCAGCCGGGCGCAAGACTCTTTCGAGGGAGGAAGCATTGGGGCAAGAAGCCAGCTCGGCGTTATTGCAGGGGGGCACGATTTCGGACAAGGTGATGATCTACCGTTAGTAGGATTGTTGTATACGCGTCACTTAGTCGTGCGTTAACACCATCCAAGAAAAAGTGCGTCAACGGGTTTTCGTGTTGCCACCCGAGGGAGATCGGGTGCCTGTCACGTTGAAGTTCAGCGCTCTGTCAGCGCCTTCAGGCACGTAGACAATTTGCTCATTGTGTGATCAGACTCGTTGCGTTACTCGCTCTCTGGAAACATGGGATTTGGTTTATTCTACGCTTCTAGTGCGGCTGTACTCACTTCACACAGCTATAAACAATAGGTGTATGCGGCACTGCTTGTGGAGGCCATCAGGGAGATCGAGGAGGAAAATCAAGCCATGCAGGCCCAGGCAAGCGAGTCAACCGAGGTCGAAGGAGTCATGCTATCGAGCGGTGATCGAGCAGAGTACATGGGCTGGATAATTGACGATTTTCCAGGCACGGCCGAACAGGTGAGGCTAACTGAGTGCAATCACGGCAACATACATCATCCCAAGACCATCGTGTCGGACTTCGAGCAACCTGCTACCGTGATTGAATCGTTCTACTGATCAATGAGGTAGATGCTTAGATTTGGCGGACGTCCACGCCAATAACGTTTTCTACGTCAGATCGATGGCTGTTTCAATGATCATTGCGCCCTTTGGAATGTGCCTCGACGCGCCGATGTGTGTTGCCATCGATGTCAGGCGGCCGTGCTCGAGAAGTACCTTTCCGGCTACGACGAAAGCGCTCACGTACCGTCAAGGCAAGACGCTGCTTCCAAGCTTGCGCCAGCTTCCCCTTCGTTGGAAGCTACGGAGGACAAGGTATGTGGGGGCCTGCAGAGTGAAGATGCCCTTCCTAGCTCGCACAGCGTTGTTCCACTCGCTTTTGCCACGTAACCTCAGAACAGAAACTATTGAATCTCTCCTCTGTGTTTTCAACTGTTTTTGTAGAGGCTGGTGATTTCGTCCGTTGAAGGAATCCGGATGGAGTGACTGATGTAGATGCACAGTTGGAAGGGCCTCTTAGCCCTCCAAATACGAAATAAGGTTCTCATCTCACGAAAAACTGAAGCTGGAGTATACAATAATGAAAGTGGGGGGTTTTGAAACCTGTAAGCTGCCCTGGCTAAAAAAGAGCACCGGTGGGGTTCGTTTGTGCGGGCAACGTCTGCGAATGGGTTGGGTTGTCTTTGCCGGGCTTTGAAGCTTGCACCTCCAACATGATCTCCTGCAGGGCACTCCCATGTCCGGTATCGACTTGGCGATCTACGTCGACGCTCCACGGGACGTAATCCTCAAGCGAAGCCTAGGCAGGCTGTTCGACCCGGTGACTGCCGAACCGTGAGTATCGCCCCCCCTCCCATTTTATCCTACAGAGAATACAGCCGCTTGAAGCTATCTGCCCCGACATTAGACTTACTGTTCGCCGTACTATTGCTAGCTCGAGCGGCCATATGCAGTCCCTGCCTAGAATATGCCTCTGCATAACTCTTTTAGCTAGTAACGACCGTGAGGAGATTACCTCTGCAGAAATGAATTGAAACACCAGTAGTGCATGTTGAGAGTTAGCTCGCGACAGCGATATCTAGGGCGGCATACGCCTCTTGTCCTTGGTCACGCATTCACTTACACGATCTGGTGCAGTTATCACTTCGAGGGTGCTCTACCGCAGTACGACGTCGTCTGCAAAGAGAGGCTGGTGCACCCCGAGGACCCGGCTAACGCGTCAGCTGAGCTATCTCTTCAAGTTGCAACACAGGTCAGATACGCTCGCTTTCCCTTCAAATACGGCATGTGCTGGCCTACATATTGTTCAACTCGGAATTATGTTGCTGGCAATTCGGTCCGCTGGGGTGGATATCCGCATGCCGTACCCCGCCGAAAACTAGAAATGAAGCACATCATTCTCATCTGGAGAGCGGGCCGGCGAGAACATTTGAAGAGTTTCTCAACTGAGTTTCCTAGCAGTAGTATTGTAGTAGTTCACAAGATCGTAACCAGCGACCATTGAAACTTCAAAGATTAATGCTCGTGATACGACAGGAACAAACCTCCGAGGAGCTGAAGGCCTTCCTGGAGAAGTTTGGCACTCTCAGGATAGTGGACAGCGGAGAAAGCACCCCCGACGCCCTGTTCGGAAAGTTGAACGCCGTGGTCGTGGCGATGGTGCAGGAAGTGAGTGACGACACCTTCGCATATCGCACATCGTGCAATCAAGAACACAATTGAATCCAGAATTCTACATACCGGCGCTTGTGAGCTAAGCACTGCTGTGTGCTGGTACCCGACGTTGCGACCAGTCTCTTGGAAGATCATCACGACACTTACGTCTGAATCGACAAGGACACACACCCCAGCTCCTGGAACAATAGTCAATCTGCAACCATTTAGCACCCGTTTCGACACGGACGTTTGGCTTCCAACCCCAGTCCCCTGCTGTTTCCCCGGGCGACTGGAATGCCACTCTTCAACTCCTCAGGCTGGGGAACGCGATACCAAGAGTGAAGGCGGTGATCTGACAGGCGACTGTGCCGCTCTGCACCATGGCGACGAGGGTGAGGATGCCGGGGACAAGAGACACGACGACCACGACGGTCCCGACGGGGCCTACGCGAGGGAACCATCCATCATGGATGGCGTGGTCGACGGCGGGGGGGCTTCCGCGGAGCAACAGCCGAAGGAAGTCGCAAGCACCGACGAGGGTTCGAGCGCGCTTGGGAATGGCGTTTCGAGCAGCACGTTTACGAGCACTGCCGAATCCGCTCGTAGCGCTCAGGAACAGGGCAAGGAGGGTGGGCTTCTGACAGGTGGCTTAGCCGTGGCGCTATGGGGGCACTGGCGGACAGCCGAGCTGCACTTCGAGGACACGGCGCGACGAGTGAGAAACGGATAGCAGGGGGGGGGGGTGTACTCATA